GACACCTTGGAAAGGGAGAACACAGGCCTTCTGGACAAAGGAACAAAAGCCAGACTCCTGGCTGGAATAACATTTGTTTAGGATGGCTGATTTCAACCCTATTCATTATCCATACTCTGAGTCCACCTCAACTGTAGAAGGCAGATGCCCACTAATGGCCTCTGCCTCCAGCTGCTACTCCATTCCTAAAGCCTTGCATTGCCAGCTTGTGGCTGTTTGCAATCCATGCTAGTGACAGGTGGCAGTCCCTAAATTAAGTTTCCACAAGGGTAGAGGTGATGGCTTTGGTGGCAGTATCCTGCATCAGTGACATCTGTGAGGCTGGGAGCAACCTGGAGACTCGATTCTGATGATATGTGACTTACCCAATCTTCTTTATGGAATATCTTCCATGTTTACCCAGCTAGGGTTTATTTGACAGACTTGCAAACAAGCACTGCAACATTTGGTCAAAAGTGGCATGACAGCGATGAAAGCCTAGAGCCAATTACTGGTATTTCTCCTTGGCAAGTCCATCCAGAGTTGGCTGCTGGGAAGATTCTTGAAAAAGGAGATGTGAGAGTAGGGCCCAGCAGGTAAGAGTGACTGCTATGCAAGCAGAAGGGTCTGAGTTTAAAGCCCCAAAATTCATATAAAAGTTCACATGTAGCCAGCCACACATGCCGATTAACTCCAGCACCCTCTACACACGTGGATGCATGTGCACACAAGTGGGGGGGGGGCACACGGGAGAGTAGACAGGCATGCTGGCTTCTAGTTCAGAGTCAGTGCGACCATGCTTCAAGGAGGTGGCAATAGACCAGGACACCCAGTGTCTTCCTCTAGCCAGTAAACGTGCACAGGTGTGATGCATACCTCTGCACCCTACCTCCCCTTTAAGAAGAAGCTATGAAACCAGTTATCCCCTGTGTTCAATGAAGACACAGCTTAGTCAACCTGAAGCCTGTCCTTTGCCAAGCTTGGCGCCTCACCTGCACTAGCTGGAGGTGGAAGGCTCTGGCAGCCACCAGATTTAGAACTGAGATGTGAATGTCAACAGATCAGCATGAGGAACTCAGATCAGCAGCCTGGTCAATGTCCTTTCCTCCTAGGGCTTCAGAAATGAGCAGGCTGCTTGTTATCTGCCTCTGTGCATGCCCAAGCTCCTATGTGCTTGCTTAGTGAAGCCTGGCCATAGAAGACATGCTGCAAATGCCTTTGGATTCGTTTGTTCATTTTTTTCAGAAGAGTTATGTACTGTGGTAAGGCAAGGGGAAAGTCACACAAGTTCAGAGTTCATTGCTTCTATTGATTCCAGTTCCTCTAAGAAGCATCATAGTCTCTTAAAAATAACGCACATAGACTCTCTTAAAAAGACAATTTTCTGATGGAATTTTCTCTAACATCAGTCAGGCACACAGCATAAAATTGGAGATCAGTTTTAATATCTGGTCTTTTCATTCCTCTGAGAATTCAGTGACTCAAGGTTATGGCTTTTTCTAGGTGGCTTTCTGATGGACAGATGAGGGGTATGGGACTCTGGGAGGGGCAAGTACTGCTTTCTTTCTTCACAGGCAGAACTATCAATGGCCATGTATGGGAACAGAAGGAATTCTGGGAATATGATATTCTTCCACCCTGCAAAGTACAGGGCTACACACAGCATAATGGCAGGGACTTCAAAAGCCAAAGTCACCTTCAAAGAGAATGGCACACACACAGAGAGATGGGAGACTGTTGTCCCCTTTGACAACAAGGAAGCAAAATCACAAAGGTGACTTGCCAGACTTGTACACAAGTCAATAGAACAGAGATGACTCCACTGTAATTTATAGAAAGGGAGGCCAAGCCTCCTGTCATCTTGTCCAGAAACAAATTGCATCAATCAACTGGCAAAGTGTTTCTCTTGGCTCCTGACTGGTGGGCTCTCCTTTTGTTCCAGTAGACACATTTACATTCTTTCTATCTGAAAAGCTGAGGCCTGACAACCACTATTTCCTATGCCTGAGAAGACTGGTGGACTAATTTGGCACATTTTTACCTCTTGAGCCACTGGACATGACAGCAGCCTTCCCTCATTTTAGATGGTCTGGTGCTGTCCCAGGGTATATCTGGTCACTTACCTAACTGCCAAAGGAAAGTTCTGTACCAGTCAGGAGGCTTCTTACTCTTCTTTGCAGATGGGTAAACTAAGGCACACAGAGGTTAATTTGTGTGTCCAATATCAAGTACTGGTGTCAGTGCTAGGATGGTAAACTTAATGGCAAAAAGCACAGGACAGACCATAGGGCAGCTTTTCAGCTGAATATGTTAAAAGAAGTATTAACTCTTGGATTTCCAGATGTGTCTGTCCTGCAAGACCACATTATAGTCCCCCACAAAGGTAAAAACAAACACACAAACAAACAAACAAACAAACAAACAAACAAACGGCTTTCCAACTATGGGAGAGAAAATAGGAAAAAGCCTCCCTACCATGGCCCTGAGAGTTGGGGAACAGTCAACCAAGATCAAGGCCACAGGGCCTGTGAGACCTTCTCTCCACCAGTACCTCTAGGCAAGGGTGGGCTTGTTGCCATCCTCTCAAGCCTATCTTGAGTATGGCCTCAGCTGCTGGCTAAAGGGATAGTCTCAGAAGCCTGCTCTCCTCCTTTGAAGCTGGCAGCTTGCTGCCTGTGGAAATGCAGTCCTATTTCAGGACTTCATTTGAAAGAGATTTCAAAGAATGGCTGAGAAGCTGCAGCAAATTGCTTTTTGTGGCTTGTCTCCTTGGCCAGAGTCTCATCTTGAGCCCAAACCAGCAGCTGCTGCGTCTCACGTCATAGCCACGTCACTGGCAGGCTGAGTGTTCAGAGTTAGCCCTGGTCCCAGCCTGAAGGACTCTAGTTCTTCTAGAACTTCTCTCATGCAACACTGGACACTTTTATGCATGTATCTTTTTTACTGTATGTTCAAAATTCTCTACCAGGGAGTCTGCTAGCCAATTACATGACTCTGAGCCTGGATTATGTTGAAAATGTCTTAAAGATACAAGAGGGCAGGAGAGATGGCTCAGAAGTTAAGAGTGCTTGCTGTTCTTCCAGAGGACCTGAGTTTGGTTCTCAGAATCTGTAGTGGCTATTCCTGGTTGTCAACTTGACTATATCTGGAATGAACTACAATCCAGAATTGGAGGGCTTACTTGTGATCCTGATCTTGAGGCATAGTGGCTATGAAAAGCTTAGGCCTAGGCAAGGTAGTACAGGCCCTTAATCCAGATCCAGGCATGGTGGCACACACCTTTAATCTGGGCCACACCTTCTGCTGGAGACCTACATAAGGACATTGGAAGAAGGAAGACTTGCTCTTCTTTGCCTGCCTGCCTTGTGGGACTAAGCAACTGCTAGATCCTTGGACTTCCATTCACAGCTGCTGCTGCCCATTGTTGGGGAGTTGGACTATAGACTGTAAGTCATCAACAAATTCCCTCACTATATAAAGACTACCCATAAGTTCTGTGACTCTAGAGAACCCTGACTAATGCAGAATCCATGTCAAGGTGGCTCAAAACTGCCAATAGCTCCAGATCCTGGGAATCTGATGCTTCCTTCTGGCTTCCACAGGGAAGCCTACACAGGTGGTGTGCACAGGCGCGCGTGCGCGCACACACACACACACACACACAGAGAGAGAGAGAGAGAGAGAGAGAGAGAGAGAGAGAGAGAGAGAGAGAGAGAGAGAGAGAGATACATTTTTAAAAAATGCCTAGAAATGCCAAGGGACACCATGGCTTCCTGCCATCTTCTGCTTTGAGAAGAAAGTGCCATCCCTGCATCTGCACTCTGAGGGATCCAGACACCTCCAAGCCCCAACCTTCTTTCATCTTCACATACAGTTTGAGAAACTGAGGAGCAGCCTTGTTTCCATTTCAGAGGTGAAAAGTCAGTGAGAACTGTGACCTATCACAACCAAATGGGAACATGACACTTGGGCACCAGTGACGTTGTCTTTCAGGGTTGATTATTCACAGAAACTTTTCTTTTAGTTGTTCATCCTTCTCCTAACAGGGGAAGACAAGGCTTAAAAAGAAATTCCATTTTCCAGGACAGTGGTCAAAGATTTAGCAGACCTTGTCAGGCCTGAGCTTTCTCTGCCATGGTGCCCTGACCATATCCATCTGAGTGTCTCTGTTAAAAATAAGGGAACACTGTTTCTGCAGGAACACACCACTCATTTCTATGGCAAATGCTGACTCATGCTCTGTGCATGCATGACAGTGCTCTCAGGGGGAGCAGGGACACAAGCCTTTCCAAGGGACTCCCTACCTGTTACAATCCTAAAACAATGCTTTGTCTGCCTATCTGAAAAGTCAGATACCTTTTCTGTTATTGTTTTCTAGATTCCGGAAGATAAGGGATTTTCTTAAGGTAAGAGGAGACACCCTTAATTATGAACAGCCAGGACAAGCTCCTCTGAAGACTATAACCAAAGTTAACTAGGGAAGATTTAGTCCATTTTGGCAATGAAAAATTATGTGACCAGAGTAGACTGGGGTGTTAAAAAAAATTCCAGAAAGACCGAGTTACTCTGTTTGGTAAATAGCTTGGTTCAGACAGACCTCATTCTGTTAAGATGTGCCCCTGTCAGGGTCTGCCTGCCTAGCTATTGTTGCTGGAAGGATCTTTCCACCTTCAAGATGTGTCAGTAGTTCATGGAACCTATTTCTGTAACTCTTGGTAAGAGCCAATTTAAGTTGCTTCTCAGTTCACTCTGCACTCAGAAGAGACCAATTTCCAGTTCTGTTTTGGAGTTCATGAGAGCAGATGCTGTGACAAATGTTCCAGTGAAATGAACCTAGAAAATGATCCCAGGGTGCTTCTCAGGGGAGCAGTGGATTCCTCAGCATTATCTGTGGCTTAAACACACCCTGCTTTCAGCCTTAGTGCTGTCATCTCTCCCTGTGAAACTTTCTGGTGGGACATACTTTTGTATGACAGAACAAGGGATCTAGGAGGAAGGCAGAAGAAAGTTCCCAATGAGGCTACAAATGACAGATCCAGAGGATGGACATGTTTATGGGCAAAGCCCTATTGCATCTGGCAGCCTGAACTGGGCAGCAGTTCCTGCAAATGAGAAGCTACTGCTTTCGTTAGGTAGGTCATTGTACCATAAGCCCCACTAGGAGCACTGTCATAAAAGAGGTGGCAAATGCCTGTGGCTTGGTCTTTTTCCAGGATGTCTGTGGCTCCAAATGATACCTGCAGCCAGAAAAAGCAGGAAAAAAATGAGTGGAATCTAGTTTTGTCCTTCACAAAGTACTTTGCATATTGGAGGTAGTCTGCTGGGCTACAGGAGGGGCTGGGAGCTGGAGGCTAGGCCTCATGGCAGGACCCCAGAGCCACAAGGCAGGTGACATGATGACAATGACACAGAATGCATGGTAAAGCATCCACTGTGGATACTGTGTTTTCACAGCCCTCCTTTTGCTGCTCAGTACTGATTCTTGTAGATGACAGCTTCTTTGCCTGACTCAATTTTGTGTACAGGGTAAGTAGCTTACCAAGAGCCAGGTATGTAGCATCTGGAATAAAACCTACAGCAACAAAGACCAGCTTCCCTAAAGGTTGTTAGATTTCCCAAGTAGCCAACTTTGCCATTTCCTAACCAAATAGTTGACATTCTTTTTTTAACCATCTGAGATGACATTTTCTTAGTTTGAGTATATGCCATCCAATTAGACACAATCTCCAGCATATAGTGGGAGAAATAGCAACCAAACCGACTACCCCGCCTTTGGCCCAGTCACACCCACCTGGTCCTGCAGGAACAGCTGATTGGCCAGCTGCACTATCTGGTCCACATGGATGATGCCCCCAATACTGTCCATTTCTGTATCTGAGAGCAGAGTCAGTACCATGATGGCTTCTACCAGTAGCTGCCGATACTCAGGCTGAGACACACGGTTGAGCACTGACTCCACGTGGACGGCAAACTTGATCTCACAAGGTGTCATCTACCAAATGATCAGCAGGTTGCCAGTGTGACAGATGGAGGAGACAGAGCCCTATCTATAATCAATGCTGCCCTAGCACTGTTGGAGCTCAAAGGCTACCTTCCTCCTGGACACTGTCTTGATTCTATAGCAGCAGCCCTCTGGAGCAGAGGGTGTCTACTAGTCCCTGAGGGCCAGCTGAACTTGTTCTAGTTCCTTTTGTCTGTCTTTTGACTGTGACTTTTAGGGAACAGGGGCCATTTCTTATTTCTTAAAGAAATTCCCTGTGATATAAAGAATGGTACCTTGGGCAGGGTAAAATTTAAAAAAAGAAAAAAGAAAACAAAATCTGTTTTTTAGAAGAATGCCTGCAAGTGCCTGGTGTGGTCCCTTGTGCTTGAAAGGCTAAAGATACCGCAGAATGTACGGAGGGCAAATAAACCAAAGGCCAGGCTGCTTGTGCTTGAAGGGGCCCTGAGTGGGTCTAGTGCATGCATGACAGGGTTTGGGTGGGGTTTTAAGGGCCCAGAGAGTTTATAAATGCTATTGCTGAGGGGAATGAGAGGCGAAGGTGACAAGAAAGGAAGTTTGCACAATTTGAGGGTGAGACAGTTAAACTGATCAGACCTACAGATGGCCTGGCTCCATAGAATAATCCTGAAAGGCATATATAGATAGAATCAGCCATGAGGCGAGCCCATGGCTGGGCTGCTCTTTGGGTCTTCTCACTTTACCTCTTGAGTTGTTGAGGATGGAAGGACATATCCGTCAATGGACAGACCATGGCACTAGAAACAGAACACAGACATTTCAGTCAGATTCCAGAACACCACAAGTGTGTGCTTGTTCACACACTCACACATATGCACACACAACTTTCTTTGCCCTGGAAATCTGCACGAGGGTTGGAACATGCCAGACTGTCAGAGTTATTTTTAGAGCGTTGTTCTCACTGCCCACAGGCTGTGTTTTCGATGGAACAATTCTAGGGAAAAACCAGCAGGCATCTTTCAGATTGGTGCAGGAACAGTGTCCTAGGGAGCTGCTGCATCCTCCCCCAAGAGGCTCTGCAATGCACTTGGCAACTGGACCCTAGTGCCTGCCAAGCCCCCTTTGGTACCATAACGAAGGGAAATTTTCATGGCTCCCATTGGTGAAGTAATGCTCTTGTGCCTTTGCAGCCATCTATTTTCGAGATTTCTATAATAAGCACCAATCACAAAAGGTTGGAGCACATGCACACACACGCACACCCATGTATATAAATACCAACAGGGTACAATATAAAGTACTGCTTTTTCATAATAAAAGCATCTTGGTATTGGGCCAGCAGAAGCCCGGCCGGAAATATATGGTGCCCTAGAAATACTGAGGAGATTTTCGAGGAATAGTTGGGCCTATTCTAACTGGCCACCTTTTACCCTCCAGTTGGCAGCAGCTGCCCTGCCTTCATGCTGGTTGGTTCAAGGGCTCTGCACAAAGTGTAGAAGGGTGGACCTGGGGCCTCTACAGGAAGCTGTCTTGAGAATGCCTTGGTCTACAGTACATCAGCCCTGAAGCTCTATGACTGGCCCTGGGCACCTGCTGCAGAAACAAGACAGAGGGCTGTGACTTCACAAAGGAGCTGGAGTATGCTCTCATTCGGGATTACTGCAGTTCTCTCTGCTCCTACTGTGAAACAAGCTAAAAAGAAATGGTTCAGAGAAGAAATTTGTCTTGCTTTGCAAAGCTTTTAAATGAGGCACAATATCCCTCTATGGCGGGGGGCAGGACAGACAAGCCCTGGTGGGGCCTTGAGAGTGGTATGAACACTCTGGAGTATGAATGTGGGAGAAGCTGGTTTGTGGGAGAAGCTGGATTGTGGGGTGTTGAGAACAAAGTGGCCCTGTCTTCCCACGCTACCACTACTTTAGAAGCAGGTGTTTTAGACAGACCCTCCTGCACTCAGGTGTGTGGGGCATTGCAGTCTATGGATGTGTCACTTCCTGTCAGTTTCAAACTACAAACTCCAATGACATTTTAACAGCCCCTAGGCAAATGGGAAGCACAGCCTATTTCACTGCTATTGGAGCAGTGGGCAGCTAGTTAAGGGAGTGGGGCTCTAGGGTCTCTATCTTTCAGACGTGGAAACAGGGTTATTCCAGGGCAGGAGGGAGTGTGTATCTTCAGGGCACATGGTTTCTGGGGCCAGGCTATAATATTTTGCTTCTTTGTACCCCTCAACACTTAGCAGGTAGAAGGGGCTCCATCATGTTCCTGGATGATTCAGGTATCACGGCTGTCAGCCTCAAGCTGACAGCCTGAGGAGCTGTCAGTTTGGTAGCTAGCCAATCCAGATCCAGTTAATGCTGCAGGTCCTCTGTGGCAATTTTGTTCAAAATCTTCCCTGCCCTCTCTGTTTGTTGTCTATCTTTAGTTTTCTATGATCCTAAACCATATCAAAGTTGGTTGCACACAACCACAGATGCTATTTTATTGTGCCTTGCAGGGCCATTTGGCAATGTTTGAAGTTATGTTTGGTGTCATGTCTGGGAGAGGAGATGCTACTGACAACCAGTAGGTAGACACTGCTTCCTATATAACAGTGCACAAAACAGTACTATAGTAGAGCCACCTAGCCTTAAATGCCACAGTGCCAAGGCAGAGAGACCTTGTTTAGGCTGAGCCATTCAAGGTTGGAGCTGCATGTTCTATAGCCATCTGCTGCCTGGTACTTGGCAGGGCCACTGTGCCTCCTGAAGGTAGATAGGGTTGTGCTCATTTTCCTAAGAGTCTATGTCTCCTCAGTATCCACTTCACCTTCTGAAGGATCTTCCATACTTTCTGGTAGAATCCCACGGGGACCCTGTTGATGGCCCCATCCAACCTTCTCCTGCGCAGCCACTGGCCCTGCTGCTCTCCCCAGCCCAGGTGGTGTCCTCCGGAGTCTGTAGATGATGTGCCTGTTGGGGAGGATGGGGTGCTGGACCTCTGCAAAACAGACACCATATGGCCTTCAGTAGCAGGTGCCCCAGAGAAAAGCTGGCCACTTTGAAGGTCAGATCAGCATATTCATCAGGATCTCCCTCCACATGTCACCTAGCCAAGAGCATAGCGGTCCTTGACTTCTCTTTGTCAGCTACTTGATGTTGGGTTTAATTTTTCATGCTTCCTTGGTAGCTTAATTCTTCCCAAGATCCAAGAAGTAGTATAACACCAGGGGACCCTGAGCTTACAGGACAGAGACCAAACAGGTACAAGTATGGGCTTTGCCATTAGGCTGTTGGAGCCAGGCTCAAGAGCAGTCACTACAGCGCCCAAGTTCAGGCTGCCTGTGCCCTATGTTAGCACTGTCTGTTGTACCAGTTGATCTACATGATAAGGACATAACCTCCCTGGGGGAGCTGTCTGCAGCCATTCACTTGGTGAAGACACAGAAACGCCTGAGCCTGAGAGGCCCGGTTGCTTGTGATTAGTGCTCGGGGGCAGCTGTCACCCTGAAGGCCACTCCTTCAGAGGTCACTAGCCAGGCATGCAAAGCCTATCTAAGGGTGCTTGGAGAGGTTGTCTCAGAGAAAGGGAGGTAGGTAGGAAGGAAGGACAACCTGAGGGAGAAGCAAATGTTTGAGGGCCTGCTTTACTTCAGCAGTGCCACAGAGATGTGACTATCACCTACCCAGAGGATAAATACCAAGGAGAGTGCCATGCATATACAGTGAGAAAGAAAGGACCAGGAAGCAAAGATAGAAAGTGAACTAGGAATTCATGTTTAGCAGTGGGGGTCATTGGTTTTTGGTTCTCTGTCTATGCTTTTCAATCCTGATTTCTGCTGTCTTACTGTTGGTCCTGAGTTTTCTTCTAAGGCTAGGCTATGGTAGCCTTCAGCTTGAACCTGTTGACCACGGTTACAGGGTGATTATCTTCTTTCCATTACCTTATGGGAGGCTAGACTTCTCTAGACTCCACAAGACCAGTGCTGTAGGCCTGTTGACCACTCGGGGGGTAGAGATCATGTGTGGATGCCCCACGGACTGACTTGTCCTGGACAGATTCCTCAGGCTGGGACAAAGCTAACACACATTTTTACATATGTTTTGGTTTGGATTATTTGGCACTTTCATTTCACAATGTGCAACATCAAATTTAAAGGTTTAAAAATAAAATCCAAATATGAAGCATACTAGCAGGGCGGGAGGTGGGATTCTTCTCTCAGAATTCATTTTGACTTCAACAGATCTTATTTTGAAAAGGCACTTAGGCTGGGTTATTCTGCTGGGCTCATTACTGCCATTTAAATAAGGCAACAATTAGCTACAAATAAAAGTAATTACAGCCACACTCATCAGTGACTCAGCTGATTTTCTCCTTCTGGTTTTGGGAGGCAGATTCAGACTCGTGTCTGCAATTAGAACATTTCCTGGGCCTCCATTTGCGCTAGGGCCACATGCTCAGCTGGGACAGGATAGTAGAAAGTGGTGGTTAGCCTGGGGTGGGAGAAGCAGTAGCTCAACACTCAATAAAAAGGCATCTGGGCTGGGAATGGGGGTCAGTGATGGAGTGACTGTCTAGCATGTTCTAATCCCTGAGTTCCATCCCTCAGCACTGCAAAACAAACAAGAAATGGGTGTTTTAGAGATTCTGAAAACTCCTAGGAGTTGATAAGGTAAGCACATCTCACCCACATTGTATTGAGGAGTTTGACAAGCCAAGATCTAAGAGCATGAGGAAAATAAAGTTTAATTCAGGAATATGTAAACTTTTCTAGAATTTTCTCAAACTTATAGTTGGAAAGTACCTCTAGCATCAGTTGAAAACCCTTAACCCAGTGGCTCTCAAACTTCCCATGCTGCGACCATTTCATACAGTTCCTCATGTTGTGAACCATAAAATTATTTTCATTGTTACTTTCTAACTGTCATTTTGATTCTGTTAGGAATCATAATATAAATGTCTGATATGCAGATAGTTATAGGTGACTCCCATGAAAGGGTCCGTTGAACCCCAAAGGGGCTGCAACACACAGGTTGAGAACCACTGCCTTAACCTTTACTCAAACCATCAGAAGTCGGAAATGAGGGGTGTGGTGAAGCTCAGGGCTGGAATGTTTGCTTACAATGTGTGAGGACCTTGGTTCCATGTCCAAAACTACATGTGTGCATGCACACAGACACCCTAAACACAAGTGGCAGAGGTAGGAGCATGGGTAAGGCCAGAAGAGAACTTGAACACTGCAGACAGGGAAGAGGAGGAGGTAGGGAGGGGTGAGATGCCAATGCAAATTTACCACAGACTTGATGGAATGAAAACTGCTGGACACAGCTTGGCTCAAAGGAAAGAACTACAAAAAAAAAAAAATAGACTCAGTCACATGCAGGGATACAAGAGGCACCAGTAGTCGAGAAGGAACACAGAGCAGCAAGAGAAGCACAGAGACTGAAGGCAGAGACAAACCCTAGAGGGGTTCTCATTGAGTAGCAGTGACAGATGCAGCCTCACCGCTCCCTTGCAGCCCAGCTTGGCTTTAAAGATTATTCTTAAATGTACACAGTGGATCAGGGTGATGACCTCTGGCCATCTACGTCTTTCCTCATCTAAGAATCTAGATGGCACCCTTAATTTTATATTGGTCTGTGTCTGTGGTATGCTTGTAAAAATAAGTAGAAAGTTGTACCATTGACACCCATTAAGTTTTGGCCAGAGAACATTTTCTTGACATGAGTAGGCAAATACAAAGCTGGTATGGCTGACTAGATATAAACACAACAGAAAAGGAAGATAATCATCTCCTTCCCGTCACAGGCAAGGGCAGCACTAAATAGAGGAAGCCATCCATGTTCACCCAAGATCAGGCCTTTGAGCTGTGGGTAACCAGAGGGACGGTGCCACCGAGTGGCGGACAAAGGAAGATGTTTGGAAAATAACTTCCTTAGAAGGAGCATAAAGGAAAGACTCTGCATGGTCTACACTCTGCATTATGTACCACTGTTTACTCTTTCCTGGTCACAGAGGCATCACATCATTAGAAATACAAATCCAAAACCAGATGTGATAGTGTGCATCTGTAGTCACAGCTACTCAAGAAGCTGAGGAATGAGGATTCCTTGAGCCCAGAAGTTTGGGAACAGCCAGGGCAGCATGGAGATCCCCATCTCAAAAAGACATCTATAAATAAAAAGCACATCCATTTTTCTTAAGGGAAGGAGTATATCATGAGGTGTACAGTGTGCCCTGACACTTCTTCCCAGGCTTCAATCTCCCCAGGTTTGGCTGAGGGTAGAACTTGTAGCACTGTCTTATTCTTTCTACTGATGACATCACTGACCATATTCCCCTCTTTTAGCAACCTCCTTTAGAACAGAAATGCTGATGGAGGCAGAGCCTGGACCATCTCTTTCACAAAGAATCCTTACAAAAGCTGAGTTTGATAACTGCAATTATTTTGATCAATACCCTGCACTAAATGAGCTAACTGGCCACCCTACCTGGATACTTTAAAGGCAAAGGGCAAGGTCCTCTTTCCCACCTTCTCATCTGCTTCTCTGGCTCTGGGGATGCCTCAGTTACTGTGCCATTCTACCATGTACCCACATCCACACTCTGCACTTGTAGCTTCGCTTTCCATGTTCAAGCCAGAAAGAATGTACAGCTAACAAAGAGACAGACAAACAAAGCAAGGCACTTCACCTGCTCATCAGCACTAGCTCGCCTATTCATCTGAAAGTAAAAACATCAGAAAGTAAAAACCCACTTCGGGTTAAGAATGCCCCGCTGCTTCCATCACACTCTGATAAGCCAGAGCATGCTGATTCCACCTCAGGGCCACCCCCCGCCCTCACAGACCTAAGCAAGTGAGGCAGCATGACTAGCGTATGAGTAGATTTTCTCACTGTAGGTCACGGTCATGTCCTAGCACAGTATTAGATGCATCAAGACTGAAAAGGTGTTGAGTTGCAGACCTGTGACGGTCAGCTCAAAAGGATTTCTACTGTGAGTTAAATTAGGGTGAAAAATGAAGAGACAACTGTGGCTGCTGGTAAATACAGGTATAATTATTCCAGTCTATTTCCACATCCCCCTTGCTATTTCAGATGAAGAACACATTTGATGGAGAAACAGTTCTCTGTTCTGACATTATTCTACTTTAACAAATTATTTTTATTTTATGGTACGCGTATTTGCCTGCATGTGTTATATGTGCACCACCTGTGTACCTGTGCCTGCAGAGATCAGAGGAGGGCATTAGATCCCCTGGAACTAGAGTCACAGACAGCTAACTAAAATCTGTCATGCTGGTGCTAGAAACTGAATTCAAGTCATCGCCAAAAGCAGCCAGGACTTTGAACTCCTGATCCATCTCTCAAGCTCCAGGAGTCTACTTTTTAAATAACACAGAAACAAATATGGACAAAGGAGTATTCCAGGATGTACATATAACATCACATGAAGGCAAGACACTGTTGAGTGCATGCAAATGGCTTTGGTGTACCTACCTGGGCTACAGGGCTATCCTCAGATTCCACGACTTCTACAGAGAGCAGATCAAAGCTTCATGCCCTTGTTTTTCAGAGATGAGTCCTGGCAGAAGAACCATTTACAACCCTCCCATGTGGCTGCCATGCTAAGGTCTTACCTGTTTCATCTCACTCCTCAGTCTGGTGATACCACTCCTCTCAGTTTTGGTGACTCCAGTATGACCCACCTCATGGATGGAGATGGCAGGACTGGACATGGAGGAGTGTATTGGGCGCACTGGAAGGAAAATGCATGCATGTTGCTTTTAGGGAATCTATTGCACCTGCCTTGAGAGAGGAAACATGGGCAGCATGTTTCTGAGATCCACTTTGCTTCCCTGCTTGAATGTAAACTTGATGAGAGAAAGGCCTTACCTGCCCCAGTCAGGCCTGGGCTTATAGTGTTGAAGGTAGCACAGGCCCATCACAGGAGGCCTGAAAGGTGGTGTCGAAAAGTGTGGGTGCTACTTAAACAGCAGGTACAGATCAGAGTGGCAAAAAAAGTTGGCTGATGGAATTGGTTTTGAAAACTATTTTTTTTTTACTTACACAAAATACATTTTCTCTGTGGAAAACTGAGACCACCTAAGGAAGCCAGAAGTAACATCTGTCGACATTTCAGTCATTATTCTGCCAGTTTTCCTCTGTGAACACGTTTTTACACTATCAACATCAAATACATGTACAAAGAGGAACTCTCCATTATACACCCGACATGCCCATATGTAAGCATGATCAGTTGTTTCTGCACTTAACACTTTGTGAATGGTTTTCTACAGCATTATATATTGTCTCACACGTATGACATTGGGTCTCAGAATGAATAACATCCAACTCTATTTGTGACTTTCTAAAGGGTTTGTCTTGACTAGTGTGTAGGATTCATGGTGACCTTGCCAAGCTCTGTAATGCCAACTGTCCCTGGTAAAATGACAAAACTGCTGCATGCTCTATTGAAGGGCTTAGAACTTAGGTACCTATGGCTATGAGCCAACTGATGAGGTATCCTCATCAGGCCTTGTCTGGACATGGGTGCAAGTACACATGGGTACTACCGTTCAGGACTGACAGAACTCAGGGCAGGGCAGGGAGATCTCACTCCAAGCCTTTGGGAAGAAGCAGGGGTTGAGCAGGCTAGAGATCTCAGGGGCGAGGTAGAAAGTGTTGCCAAGGCCAGGCACAGAGTGCCACTATGGAATGGGGCAAGAAGGATCTTCCCACTGCACCAGACCACACCTCCTTCCATCATCTACCATCAACCTCAAGACTTAACACCTAGTTTTTCTCCCTATGTGTATGGTCTCTAAGACAACGGTCATAAAGGATTATACTAAAAGGCAAATGTGATCATATCATTGCTCAATTGGAATTCTCCTGGGTCTAAATCTGTCTTCAGAATGAAGCCTAAGGAATCTTTTTGTTGCCATGGGAAACCCTCCTAATGGGTGCCCCATGTGGGCACATGCATGCACTACTCCCCCATTCCACTGCTCCTTTTGTAGGCACAAGGCAAAGGTTACTTCCTAAAGACTGTTGCTGAAGCTAAGAAAGTGGGGGGGGGGCAGTTTTGAGGGAGGAAACCACCAAGGAGATCCAATGATGGTTCAAGAGGGAGGAGTGGTTCCAAAGAAATAGAAAACAAGCCAAATGGGGTATGAGAAGCTCCAGGATAGTGTGTTTGGGGGGAAGTGTTTGTTAGAAACAGTAATTTTAGGATTTAGTCAGTTTTAACCCTACTACTAGCTTCCCAGCTTATAAAAACTGAACAATTACAAGACAACGAAGAAATGCTATGTTTGAAAAAGATAATCTGTCTTCTGTCCTTCCTTATGATTAGACATGTCAAGGCATTCAAATGACATTCCTCAGTTCTTGGTTTTGTAAGCATCTATACAGCTTTATATTGAATGACAATTATCTGTCAAACCATGTACACTATTATGATGAGCAGAACACATTAAATATGTATCTTTTCCATTTCCATTTCATTTACATTTCATTTACATTATGTACTTGAAATACCTGTAAATTACTTTTGGGTAGGGATTTCGAGCACTCCTCCTCAGAAAGGAGAAGGCCTCGAATAGACAGCTGATTGCCCCATGCGGCTTTGTCTGAGGTACATGCTCAGGAAAAATACAAAGTACCCAATGTCCTTATTAAATAAAAGGAATGATAGCCCACAGTGTGTTTCTTTGGCTCGATGAAATAAATTCACCGATGTGTCTACGAATCATTTAGCTTTTTTATGAGGAGGAGAAATGATAATTGCTTCAATTATAATTAGGGAACATTTGGGAACAAGAATCACACCAGGACTTTGGTGATTAGATTTCTTAGCACTGCGAGCAGATTTCCAAGACAGATACAAAGTGAGTAATGCTGGATGAAGCGACTGGACTGGCCCACACACATCAGAGGGCATTACCCCCTGCTCTCTGGAGGGGGCCATGAGGCCTGGCTACAAATGCTTTGAGGCAAACCAAAGGCCAAGCCACAAGGGGTGATCTTTAAGGGCACCCCTGTGATCCTGACATTTAGAGTCACCTCCCCTCATAACACTTAGGATTACAGGAGATGCAAGGTACAAAGGTATACAGTCCACTCTGCCCTTGTATCAGTATAATCTTCAGAGAAATACAACCCTTTAAGGATACTTGTCCCTAAAAGCAGGAACGTTGATCCCTAGCCTCCATTCATCCCACTGAAAGAGGAAGCGTGTGTTCCTTCCTTGTAGGGAACTGCTGACACTGGTGCTGATGTGCATGTGGGTCCCCATGAAATACTCTGCACTGACTCACCGCTTCTCTCCACACCGAACTCTTTCCCACTTAGGATATGATGCAGAAGGCTCTTCATGTCGAAAGGGCTGAGGTTCATCAAGCTCTCCGAAGCTTCTTCTCCTGCAAACAAACATAAGAGTCGTAGACATGGGCTGCTGGTGGGTGGTTCAGGGTGCAAGAGGTCGATAGATATACAAGGTAGTGGCAGGGCTCCTTGTTCAGGATTCCTTCACTGGTACTGCAGGCCTCAAAGTCCTTGGGGAATGCAAATACTTCTGCTTAGGTCAGTACAGGTGCATTTAATCCCTAGACATAGAATGTTTCACATTGCACTGATCCCTGATGTTGAAATGTGTTTTGCAAATGTTTGTATTTCTCCCAGTGAAGGTGTTATTAAGTGGAAGGAGACATCTTACAGTGAGAACATCACTGTGGATTAGCTGTCAGGTACAGCAAAAATTCTTGTGTAAACATGGTAGCTGCTTTGCCTGCCCCAGTGAAGAATGTTGTTGTGCTATGTGGCCTGACAGCAGCCAACTCTTACGAAGGAACCTGGGAAAGCCTAAGCTCACTCAGAATGGAAGCCTGTTCAGATGTGCTTGATTATGATTCCCTGCGCAGCAAGGCCTTAAGGTAGGGCTGAGATGGCAGGAGTGGCAAGCCATGGCCTTTTACCTGAGCAGTTCAGGCTCCGAGCCAGCTCTGTGGCCATCACCTGGATGATCAATCCAATCCGGAGTCTGAGCATCTCTGCAAAGAGGCTAGGCTGGGCCCGGACATACATGGCCAGGTAAACCACGATCTCCTGGTGCAGATACACATGGGAACAGGGCTTCAGGGAACCTGAGAGGCCTTTTGGCACTCCGAGGAAGGCTATGGCCCAACTTGCCCTTCCTGCATCAGCACCTGACCTGTGTGAGGACAGCAATGCTGATGTCCTGTCCACTGGCTTCGTATATGAGTTCTGTGAGCTCCTCTGGGGGAAGAGGCCTAGGAAAGAGCAGCAGATCACTCACAAGAGGTACCTCAGAGCAGAGTCTTCTTGCTCAGTGGAAGTTCTCTGCTTTCAACAAGCACCCACAAGACACAGTATCTTCTAAAAGCCACTGCCACCCATCCACTATAGTACAATGCTCTCTGTGCTCCTCTATAATCTAGAGGTCCTCCAGCAGGGACTTACGTAGATATGGTCTTCTCCCGGGGCTCAGGGGGAAGGCCCACTGTAAGCTGCTTCTGGTGGGACAGCAGATCTGCACAGGCCTGCATATTTTTGGGAGGGAAAGGGTATAAAGGAAAATAAATTAAGCAAAACTAACTGAGAAGGTTAAATGCCAACAGCACCAGAAATTTACCTTTATGAACTTTATAATCCATGCACGTGGTCCTTCTGAGAAACTGAAACTTACAACTTAGGCTGAGCAACCTACATAGGGCTGAATCCCTGTGATCTTGGTGTCTCCCAGGTTATGGCCCTAGGCTTGGCCCATCCACTATAGTAAACACCCTAGACTTCCTGCTATATTCAGACATGGCAGGGGTGAGGCCTCAGATAGCCAAGATTAGTTACAGTTACTAGGCACATTGTGTTTCAAGCTTATGAGTTCCTCAGTATTCACGTGTAACAATGACTAGCATCATTACCAGAACTTGCTTAAAGCCACAGGAAGTGACTCTGGATTTTGTAGGGCCTCAGGAATATAAATATTATGATCTCTGTACTGTGACATGTGGAAATGAGTGCTTTGGTTTCATGACTGTTTGGTAAGCCTTTCTGTAGTTAAGAAAGAACCAAACTAATCAATTTGAGAACTTCGTCCTCTTTCCTCTCCATCCAGAGCAGTAAAAAGTCATGTGAGGGCTTGCCTGGTGCTGGGTTACATTCCCTGAGTCCATTTATTGATAAGAGACACTTGCCTTAGACCTTCCACAACTAGATGACTGGAAGAAGAAAGCATGGGGCTAGAAAGAACAAATGGACAACCCGGCAGGCATGCTTATTCTGACCTCAGCCAGGACCTCCACTTTCTTCCTGAGCAGGCCTGAAATGTAGCGAATCAAACTCCATTCTTGGTTCAGGCCAGCTTTTCCATAGAGCTCGCTGAGCAGACTGTGAACAGTGACTCCATGCTGCCCAAACAAATTGGTATCCCAGCGGGGACCCCTGGCCAGAGGCAGAAAAATACGAAGATAATAAATAGGTCAGAATGTCAAGGCTGGGTGAGGCATGGATTGCTGTACATTTTACCAAGTGTCTGAACAGTTCTATTAATTCTGGGTCTCATCAAGAGGGTTCAGTCCAACCAAATATGTCTATATCATGTCTTCTGAAACAAAAGCCTAGTGTTCACATATCACTATGGTATGCTGGCCTTGCCTAGACTTTTCAAAGAAAGTTAGCATCAAGAGGCAGAGAAAGGGATAGAAGTCTCATATCCTAGGTAATTTGAGTGAATGTGATCATGGTCTACCATTGCTGGAATTCCAAGAGACTAGGAAAAAGAATTATGTAGAACGAAGTTCAACATGGTCAAGACCATAAATAATTATTATGCTATGGCTTGATTGCTTGTGTCCTCATCAAATCCCTACACTAAAATCCTAACCCTGGAGTGATGGTTATTAGGACATGGAGCTCTTGGAAAATGACTAAGCCATGAAGTAAGATCCCTTATAATCTATCAGATAGTACCCTTACATGAGAAACCCCAGAAAGCTTGTCCTTCCCTTCTACCATGTAAGGATAGGATGAAAAGGCACCATCCATGAGAAAGTAGGCCTGATCACCACACATTGTATCTTGGATTTCCAGCTTCTAGAACTGTAAGATACACTTCGTTCTCTTATGATGCTGGCTGATGATGTGTTGCTATAGTAGCCCAAAGAGATTTAAGGTACTTACTTTATTACATAAAGAATGTACAGAATGTCTGCTTGGTCCTGTAGGTTTGAACAGTCTTTCAGTTGCCCAACTAGCTTTTCACAGTCCATTTCATCATGGTCATCTCTGGGCCACTGGTAGTCATATTCAGGAGTCTGGCCACATAAAAGCCAAAAAGGAGGGAAAGGGATTAAGAATGGGAACTTTCAGATGACCATAAAGCAAAGTTTTATTTCTGAATGCTAGCACTACGCTAGGCTTCATTTTTTTCAGTAAATCTTTTGTACTCTATTAGTTATGTATCTTTACTATATTTGACATTTGCAAGAGACTAGAGAGAACAGGTTAAAACATACATATATTTTATTTATTCAAAGTTCAAAAATAGACAAAACCAACTTCTGCTGCTACAAATCATGATAGCAGTGCTCCTCCTACCATGTACTAGGAAACCTAGGCCCTTTCAAGATAAATAGTTTATGACTGAGCCACAACCTCAGGCCCAAGCAGTTATCTTAGACTCTGTAGTGGGGGTAAATAGGAGGAGGCAGAGAAAGTGATCAATAACAACTGCATATTGACTCAGTGACCAGTCACTGTACTCATCAGGACACTTTTGTGTCTATATATAATAATAAGGTCTTAATATGTAGCCCAGGCTTCCCTAGAACTTGCTATATAATTCAAGTTGACTGAAAATTTGCAGTCTTTCTTCCTCTTCCTCCATGATGTTGGAATGCTATCATACCCAGCTTTCAGTGAGCTGCTTTAGAATGCAAAACAACATAAAAATGTATGTTTACAACTACCTAAAAAATAAAGTTAGATTAAAACACTCTCCAATGGGCATTGGATATTTTGATTCATGTGGGATAAAATCAGGGAAGAAAAATAAGGACCGGGCTGGAGAGATGGCTCAGCGGTTAAAAGCACTGACTGCTGCTCTTCCAGAGGTCCTGAGTTCATTTCCCAGCAACCACATGGTGGCTCACAACTATCTGTAATGGGCATCTGATGCCACCTCCTGGTGTGTCTGAAGACAGCGACAGTGTACTCACATACATGAAATAAATAAATAAATCTTAAAAAAAAAAAAGAAAAAGAAGGACCAACCCCCATGAGATTTTATGTTTTGAGGAATTGTATTACATTAAGAGTATGGTGAAGCCAGGAATGGTGGTACATGTCTACAATAAGCCCTTGGCAGGCCAATGTAGGAGGACTGTGAATTCTAGACCAGACTGAGCCAAAAACTGAGACCCTGTCTTAAAAATGAAACCAAAGAGTATGGGTAATAAAGTAATGAAGTTCTATGCTCTGTTTTGAGCTCTGGCTGGCTCAGATGTAGTAAGAAAGGCAGTTAAGTGTATTTCTTCTATTACTGTTGTGTTCTGATGATCAGGCAGATTGGCAGTAAGAAGCCTTTTCCTCCAAGCAAAACACAAAGGTATATACCAAACCCAGTGTATACAATGATGCAAACTGAATTCCAGACAACTAAGTGCCTGGATTCACATTGATATGTAGAGTGTCTAAACTGTGAAACTCTGGATATAAAAAAAATATGCTCTTTAAGCTCCATCATTTGAGATAGTTCTTGGGACTAACCCAGTATTATCAAGTATTACATTAAAAACAAACAAACAAAAACTATTGCAATAACTTTACCTTCTTTAGGAGTGGCTGAGGGGAGTCAACAAGATTCAGTGATTTACGGTGTCCACTTAGAACTTTAGTTGGCAAAATCATGGGAAAAACTGGAAAAGAATGTAATTAAGAAAGCTATTGTGAGGAAAAACAAAAATAGAGCCCTCTTTTGTAGGTATGGGACATTGCTTTGCCTGGATTTTATAAGGGTGCTGGACATATAAACTCCGATACTCACATAAGTTCAACATGCCCTTTACCCACTAAGCCATCTCTCTAGCTCCCTCACTAATTCATATTTAAATGAGACATATAAAGCAAGCTCAAGTGGTTCACATATGTAATCCCAGCACTCTGCAGGAAGATTCCAAGTTTAAAGTCAGCTTGGACTATGTCACTGAGGTCCTGGCCAGCCTGGACCACATAACAAGATATTGCCATCAAAACCCAAAACCACAAAAACACCTTGCTAAAAGCAAACAAAAAAGACAAATATTCAAGAACAGGTAAACAAAGGGAAGAAAATAATAGCAACACTTTCAGGAGTAGGAAAAACAAAGGTTGAAGGATAAGCAGCTGAGAAGACACAAGAATACAATGGGGAAATCAAGGAACCAGTCAGGTCTGCCTTAAGAGAATCCTCAGAAGGCTCAGGAATTTGTTGTGCTGGGTACTTTTGAAATTGGCGAAGGGTTCAAGGGGATAAAAATAAAGAAGATGGAAGACACAGTATGCAAGATGCATTGTGCTCCCTAGATGTTCTACTCTTGCACACAGCATGGTGCCTCCCTCTTTCAGGAGGACGAAGAATAGAGAACTCTCTGAAGAGAATGAAAGAGAGAGGGTATCTAGGCACAGACTGGTTACACATCCAAAAGGCCTGAGTACATTCCTTAGAGAGACAACAGTGACAAGAGATCCAGGCAAGCAGTTCTTTAGCCTTAAAGTAGAAGGGTAGAATAGGAGGCAGTAAGAATCAGCATCTACCTCATGGCCCCAAGGCCACAAGCTCTATAGGGCTTGGAGGTTCTTCTGCAGTAGCAGGTGAACAGACCTGCACTGAAGGAGGTACTCCAAAGTAAGAAGGCAAAGTCTTTACTAAAAGGAAAAGGTGACTTGGAAATGGAAACTATTCAGGGAAAAGAAAGTATAAACATAAAGATTAAAAAGCTCTATCTCTACTTTTTTTTAAATAATAAGAAATTCTACTATATGTATAAGACAAGAACAGATGGAATTTGGGAAATGAAGATTAAAACATAATAGCAAAAGTGAAAAAATCAATTGAAGGGGTTACAAAAAGTTGAGCCATTGCATTCATAACAGCTTAGAAATATGGAAAACAGAACAGAAATGATAAAAATTTCTCCAAGAAGTTAATAAAATATACGAAAGAAAGTACAGGGATAATGTACAGAAGAAAATGAGCCAAAGATTTAAGAAAACCTTTAAAGGATTGAAAAAACATACATTTCCAGATCAAAAGTATATAATACTGAGTATATAATACAATGGATAAAAACATTCCATCCATTGTATATATCACCGAAATTTCAGAACTCATGAACAGATCTAAAAACCTTCCAAAACCAGCTAATATTTGAAAGATCAAAAATCAATATAGGAAACTTTACACCCAGCCAGATCTCCCACATCTTTCTTTGGGGTCTACCCAGTGAGCCCATTTGACCATCCTCGAACTACTCACTCTTTCCATTCCACCACACCTGGCTCAGATCCCACATCCAGATTCCACAGCCTAGCCTGGCCACCCCTGCTATATTACATTCCATCTCTAGGTCTCCTCTAGAATGGTCCCTGTATACCCCGCAATCCAAAGGCCACTTCTACACTAAATCCAATCTTTCTGCCCAGCTAGATCTACAACCACACCCCAGGCTTGGACCAAGAGACACATATCTTATATGCCAGCCCAACATATCCTGTTCATATGATTTCATTCCACCCAACCATTTCCAACCTCTAGGCAAAACTTACCCACACATTTTTTTTCCTGACCCAAGGTGTTCTATCCATATCAGACTAATATTAGAACTAACAAAAGAACTCTACATGCACAAATCTCTTCTCCTCCCATCTCTCTCTCCTCTCTCCCCATCTCTCTCCTTCTCTCTCCCTCTCCCCACCCCTCACACACACACACCAGAAAAAAAAACACAGTATAAAAAGATCCAGATAGTACTTTCTTTTCCAAGCCTACAAATCTTATACAAATGTTTTTCAATAAGAGTTACCTAGATAAACCACAGTGCACAAATTTAAAAGAACAATCATAAACTTCATCAAGGTATTCAAGGAGTTTAGAGAAAATACAAAGAAACAGCTCAATAAAATTAAAGAGAAAGAGCTTAAAAAAGAATAAATGTCTAAGCAATGTCCAACACAACACAAACACAAGGTTGAAGGAAATGGTAAAAAGAATCCAGGATTTGAGAGTAGAATTCAGTAAGGAAACAGAAACATTGAGGAGGACTCAAGCTGAATCGAAGATGAAATTGAAAAACCCAACAATTAGACTAGAAAACTCAAAGGAAAATCTTACAAGTAGAATGAATCAAACAATATAGACTATCAGAACTCCAAGATAAAGTAGAGGATCTAGACCAAATAAAAGGAACAAAATTATACACACACACACACACACACACACACACACACACACACACACACACATACACACACACGAGAAAGGAAAAATACAGAAAATGTAAAATATCATGAAAAGACCAATCTTTGAATTATAGGCATAGATGAGAGAGAAGAATCCAAAGTCAATGGCATAGACCAGATTTTCAACAAGATCATAGAAGAAACTTTCTCAGTTTAAGGAGACATATCCATACAAGTACAAAAAGCACACAGAACACCAAATGGAAAAAAAAAGAAAAGAAACTCACCATGGTATAGCACAGAAAAAACACAAGTTACAAATAAAGAAAACCAATGAGAAACTTTGAAAACCAGAAGAGCCTAGAGCAATGCATTATTAATTCTAAAAGACCTTGATGGTCAGCCTAGACTAATATACCCAGCAAAAGTAACCACTATAATTGAAAGCAAAAGAAGAACTTTCCACAGTATAAATACCATAAGCTGGAATTAACCTGAATTCCTCTTCCCTGAGGAATATCTTTCTATCTGGTACCAGAAGGCACTGTGCAAACTTCTAAAGGGTGAAGCAACCAACAGTCCTATCTAGCTATGATGTCTATGAACCACATCAAAAATCAGCATATAATGATAATCGTAAGGGTAGATACTTTGGTAGCGTGCTTCCTGTGGTAGTAACCAACAGCTTTCTGATTGGACTTAAGATCCATTCAACAAGAAAGAAACCATGCTTGGTACTGGAATGGATCTTGGAGGAGAACCCACAACCAACCACCTCTTTAGTAAACCAGCATAATCTGTATCAACAATCTAAACATTTGTCTTTATATCCACAGATAAATATAGTCCTCACCCCTTTTCAAGGAAACTTCTATTTGCAACAGAGACTATTATAGAGAATCAGTACTAATCAAAATGCAGAATTGTGGAGCTCAGCCCCAATGGATTTATCTACAAAACACTCCCACACCTAATGCTCAGAGACCATTGTGGGAGGGGGCAGAAAGATTCTAATAGCTAGAGAATCAGGGAGTTTTCTGTGAGACTGTTTCGTAGTAATGTCAGAAGCTACACCCACAAAGTCTCACTAACATGACGACATGAGATGAATAAGGACAACAATAACAGATATGCCAAGGTAGACAGAAAAAAGACTGAGGTCTCAATCCTACACCTACACACGCACACGCACACGCACACGCACACCAACCAACCAAACCAAAACAAACCTACAGGCAACTAAAGAATCCTGAGAACTGTAGAATAGCATCTCCATGGAAGAGTATAACAACTAGTGTCTAATACCAAATGGTAAGCCTTAAAAACATACATGCAAGGAACATACAGATTGATTAGGTTATATTTAGAAATAAATAAATAAATATATATAAATATATATAAATATATATAAATCTATTTATAAAATACCATACATGGTATGAGTCAGTTTATTATATGTATCCAAGATGAACACAGACAAAAAAAGAGACAGAGGATTAATGATTGCCTGGGAGTAGAGAAGGGACTAACTGGAAATATTAATGGAACTGAGGGTATTGTTCTCTAGGATATAAATATACATGCATGTAAGAAGAAGTAATGAAAAAAGGAAGCCATGATTTCAAGGAGAACAAAGAGGGGTATATAGGAGAGGTTGGACGCAAGAATGGGAAATGATGTAATATATTATAACCCCCTCACCAAATAAAAGAAATAATTTGACCAAAAGATATGTAGGCCAGTGAGATGACTCAGTGGGTAAAGGTGCTTACTGCCAAGCCTGATAACCTGAGATCAATCCTGGGAGCCCACATGATGCAAGAAGAACCAATTCCTATTGGCTGTCTTTTGACAACCACATGTGCATTCACACCCACACAAGACAAAGAATAAATGTGATTAAATATGAATATGTTTAATATAAAGAACTCATTTAAAAATATTTGCATATTTAAGGCAACATTTTGTAGAAGCAAGTAAGAACATATCAAAAAATAAACATATTACCCAGAGAGAACCTTCTTGTCTATATTTATGTAACATTTTCTACAGTTTGCTTTTATTTATTTGCAGGCTGTGGATTCCAAATCTAAGGCTGATACTAAGAATATAACAAGAAAATGAAGAGAATTCCTTCAGTAAAGTGCTTTCACTGCAAGTATGAGGACCTGAGTTCAACTCCCAGTATCTATATAACAATCTAGACATGGATATATGCACTTGTAATTCCAGTACTTTGGTGGTAGCGACAGGAAGATTCCTAAGGCTTCCTGGCCAACATAATCAGTGAGCCCAGAGATCAGTGAGAAACCCTATCTCAAAGGGACAAAACAAAACAAATATAACAAGGTAGTGACCATGTTGTTGAGGAACATGCCAGGTGTCACTGTTAGCTTTCACATACAAACACAGAAAGAAGGGAGGAGTGAGAAAGACATACACACAAGCACTCAGACAAGAGTATGTGCACATGAACACACAAATACACATGCACACATATACAAACTAATACTATGGCATGATGCTTTAAAAGATTTGAAGAAAAATGTGTTTTTAATCCAGATTCTATACCTAGCCAAACTGTCAAATGGGTCTAAGATACTTACAAGCATTTTTAGATATGTAAAGGCTCAATAATGTTTAAAAACTACCTACTGTTTCTTAGGAGGCTATTGGATGTCCTCTACTAAAATAATACGAAGAAAGAGAAGAATTACAGTATAGTAAACAGGAACACTAACAAAGAAGAACGTCAAGGAGCCTCAAGCACAACTAGCCTAGAAAGGAGACTTTGCAAACTCTAAGAAAGAAACAAACTCAAGAGACTTACTAATATAACTCATGTTGTGAAAATTTGTATTGTAAAGACACTGGGAGACTTAGAAAGAAGAAAAGCAAGCAAAAATGACAATGTTAATTTCAGGAAAATCAAAACATAAAAACTGGAAAAAATCATACTACACTACAATGTTCAATTAAAAATGCTATCTGTATGTATACTGTAAACTTGAAGACTGATTTAACTAAATTTTTAGACAATTCCTTTAGTAGGTTAGGGAACAAAATAGAAGAGTGGTAATCTAAGACAGCTAAATCCTTCTCCACATACTATAACACTGTAGGTCGAACTGATGCCTCAAGGACAGAAGTAAACACATACTATTTTAGAAATATGGAGATATGGAAATGCCAGAAGAAACATCTAGAAGAGCTGAAAGTGGTCACATCTAAGTAGAAGGTTAGAGGAGGGGACACGTCTTGTCTTTTGGGATTGACTTAAATTATATTCAAATGTTACTGTGAAAAAAGAAAATAACTTAGTAGACAGAAGAGTTTAATAACATACATGGAGTTTCCAAACCCTTTGCTTTGGCCATCACAGAAAGTATGTCCCGAGTGGAGTGAACAGCACTGAAAACATGGCTGTCTTCTGACTTCTTACAAAGAGGGGGCAGGTAGCATTTCAAGGATGTGCTTTGAAGAAGGTGGCTGATATACTGGTCAAGCTCATCTTGGCTTTCTGTAATTGGACAACCAAGGAAAAGAATTAATGAAAAAAAACTGTTGAGTAAACAACATTTAGTAACATATATTTGCACCTCCACTGACAAGGATAAAGTTAGTGACAGGTACGCCATATGTGTGTACAAATTTCTTGCTTTAAAAAAAAAAACTTCATTCTATGCCAAAGAAATCTAGAATGAGAGTTTAAGATACATCATCCATCCCAAGGTGAGCTATAGAATATGAAAGTAACCTGACGAATACTAGCTGGCATTATGTCTTTAATTTAAGATGAGCTAAGCCTTATGGAGCTTTGTGTACCATTTACAAATGTTATCTAAAAGTAAAAAAACAGGTCACACTGACCCAAAAATCATGTTCAGATTAAGACATGTTATATACGTGTGGGGTTTCACCACTCACATCTAATCAAAACTAGGTCATTTTACCATTCCTTTCAATAGTCAAACAATGTGTTTCTCCTTTAAGAACATACTTTATAAGGGCTTAAGGGTGTAGCTCAGGAGTATAAAGCATGCGTGAAGCTTTGGGTTCACTCTCAGGTCAGAATTTAAATAGCTGTAAAAACCCTTAAGGAGCACCAGGAGCAGCTGGTGCAAATGAACTCACAGAGGTGTAAGGGGCAAATAGGCTATTTTAAATAAAAAGAGGACTGGTGAGATGGTTCAGCAGGCAATGGGGACTACTACCAAGCTTAACAACCATAGTTCAATCTTCAGAATCCACATGGTGGAGGGAGAGAATCAACTCCCAAAAGTTGTCCTCTGACCTTTTTCTATATGTTATATATGTCATGGTATATCACACACACACACACACACACACACACATACACACACACACACACACACACACACAGTAAATAAATGGGAAACGTTTTTTAAAAATCAATTTATGAACAGTCTGTACCTGAGACTTTCCCCTGCTTTCAAAGGCACCAGTGTAATTTAGGTTCTTTTTTTTTAAAAGAGATTTATTTATTTATTTATTTATTTATTCATTTATGTGAGTGCACGGTCCTGTTGATATCTTCAGACACACCAGAGGTGGGCATGGGATCCCATTACAGATGGCTGTGAGCCACCATGTGGTTGCTGGGACTTGAACTCAGGGCTTCTGGAAGAGTAGTCAGTGCTCTTAACTGCTGAGCCATCTCTCCAGCTCTAGTAAATTAGGTTCTTAAATTAGCACTTTATTCATTTTAATGAACAGAATAATCTTCAGAAGCCTCATTTCTGTTCATTTGCTTTTAGCTGACTTGTCAATTATTTTCTATATTTGGGTCTTAGGCAATTTTATCATAGTGCTAAGGTTTGAACAAGTGAAATCAATAGTTCACAGATGCTTGCCACAGGATACCTTGATGACTGCTGTCTTCCAGGTATCCTCCCAGGTCTGGCTCACTGTCAGGACTAAAGCTCCCATCATCACTGTTGTCATCAAACAACTTCTCATCACAGTCTGGATCCAGGAAGGTGAGGTATGTGTAGAATGAGGTAGTAAGAAACTCTTCCAGGTTTCCTAGTTTTACTCTGTCAAGAAGATACTATGTTAGGGATACAGGTGGGGTGCAGCCAGATTTTCACTATGAATCACTGTGAAACTCTTCAACAGCTAGCTAGCACTTCTGCAGGAGTCAATAAATATATTGGCCCTCTATCAACCAAAAAACAAACCCAAAAATTCAATAGCAAAGCTAGGCATGGTAGGAATGCCTGTAACCTGAGCATTTGGGAAATAGGAGGTTGGGCTGTCTTCAGCTTCACAGCAAGTTTGAAGCCAGCCTGGGCAACATAAGACTATGCCTCATGTTTTATCCACAAGTATGAAGTGAAAACATGTAACATTTAAAAGTCAATAGATTTCATGCCTAATTTTTGTCCCTAAACATAACAAATACAAACTTATTTTCCTGATTAGCTAACAATTTTACAAAATAAACTGAGCAAACCATTTTTAGCTGGCGTCAACCTCTAAGATTTCTCTTCCTTGACAATTGGATCAGAAACAATAATTTTCCTGGTGTGCTTGTCCCTGATGGGTATAGGGGTCTAATGATGGAAGACATGTGCCTCAGAGTTAAGGTTCTCTCTAGAAGGAAGTCATTGGATTAACCTACCATCCTCAGATTGATACCAGTTCACCCTGCATGGGCCCTATTGCACTGGGCTGAGAAACATTCCACTGTAAACAGGCAGCTTGGTGGTTTTGCTAAAGTGGGATCAGGACCCGAGATACTGGGAGGCCATGTAGTTTCTGCCCTACAGAAATGTCAGATACTGAAGTGGAAGACAACAGGACCTCCCTCTGAGCTAGTAGCATGAGATCAGAATTTAGTTAATATGTGTTCGAACCTAAGAACTCAGGACAGAATTGTTTACAGAGTAAATCAGAGTATGCAATACAACCACCTATGCAGGTGGCTGAGTTTCAACTGACAAAAGGCTTATGGTAAAACAACAGTTGGGAAAGAAAAATCTGTTCTTCACTGAACAAAAAAGCCTTCTTCTGGAGAGTCAAGGGACAGTTCTAAGGCTCCTGTTTTGCCCTAGAGTTGAGAAGTGGACCAGAAAACCAAAGTGCAATGGGGACTTTTTCTCTGATGAAGGTGAAAGAGTGGGGTTTATGTGGCTAAAGAGAACACAAAGGAAGGCAGTCACTTCAAAAGCTTTTGGTAGCATAAGACTCCATCACAGGCCTATGATATTTTCTTTTGGTCATGATGCTGTATACCAGGTGGCAACTTATCCAAGCTGGAGCCAAACTGCTCCGAAGTAGATGTTGATGGTATTTGTAATTCTAGCCCTGCATATGTACACAGTATCACACTGGTGACTGTCTGACTGATACTTCCAAGAGACCAAGGGCAGCCTGTATGGGAAGCCACTTCTAAACAACAGCAGGGCCCACAGGAAACTACAAGGCACAGGTGTCAATCTTAGAAGCTGGAAAATAATCACTTGATGACATAGTTAGAAAAAATAGTTGGGTACACCTTGAAAGACAACAGTAAGGTAGTGAAATGAGCCAATGACAAAAAGACCTTGTGTTGCACAAGTTGTCTGGCCTAAAACCATGAGGACACAAAGTAGACAGGATGCTGGGAATGGGCAGGTCAGCAGGGAGTTGTTTCTTGCTGGTGTTTGAATTCTGAAAGATGGAAAATGTTCTGGAGATCTGCCTTAAACGATGTTCTTGGCACACTGAGCTGCACACGAAGATATAGTGTAAATAGTAAGACAAGAGGTATTTTACCAGAAATTTAAAAAAATATGCTTTTCCTGTGGCAACAGGTAGGAAGATGTAAGAAGGGGTCACTTAACTTCTGACACACTCTAGGAGACTCATGGAGATGAAGATATAGAGATTACATAAAAATCACCTACCTTGGGTCACGCAGAGGTACAAAATGAAAGAAGGGGATTCCTGTAGAGCCAGTAACACTATTCACCTAAGATCTAAGAATCATATGCAGGAGAGTCATACTTTAGGACAACAAACCCAAACAGATCTCATACCACTGAAGCTGGTAGACAATGACTTATGTAGGGCTAATCAGATGCTTTGTTTCTGAGGGCCACTGAGAAATCTGTCAAGTTGTGTGAATTATTAGTCTCAAGGTGATAGCGTACTCAAGTTGGCTTTTCTTGGCCCCTCCCTGGGTGCCTGGTGTTTTCCTCCATGTCTCTTAGGAGAAACATAGCAATCCACACATCCCAGGAAAGACAACACCTTTGAAACTGCTATGCTCACTTCTCTATGCAGGTGGTTTTTTGGTGCCCAGGAAAGTTTAACAAACAACAACCAAATATTACTTTAGATCAGATTCAAGCTTTCCATGGGAGATGAAATTGGATTAGTTTTGATTTCCTTTTTACTCGAAAATTCTGTGTGTTTAGGTTTAGAAAATTGATGTGAAAGGTGAGAAAAGGACAGCAGAAGACTTTTAGAAAGGTCAACATTATCCTTATTTAATGAAAAGAAATCCTGACTTACCTAGCACCTCCAAAATAGCCATCTTCTAGTTTTCTAATTGTAGAAAGAACTGCAGGATGAATGTCTGATCCATCATTTGCTAAGAAAAAGAATGATGAATGAGATTCTTTATCTAGGAGCACAATGCATTGAAATGTTCTTACCAACACCAACCTAATCAAAACCTTTAGGGCACAAAAGATTCCTTAGACAAAGAAATCAAACTGCTAAGTATCCCCGTCAGTACTTGGCGCCATCCATGGGAACTGTCCTCAGCGTTTAGGCAAGAGCCCACGACCAAATAGATGGAGATCATGAACTTACTGAGCATGGTATGCGTGACAGGGAAGGTGAGAGTAGGGCGGCCAGTCATCCGCCAGCAGGTGCACAGATAGGCTAGTTCGATCCGCAGCATCTCCACAATCATCTCATTGTCCAGGGCCAAGTAGAAGTGATGCTGGTCAGTGAACTGAAAGTCAGAACAAGCCAAGTCAAGGGTCACCCTTCACTTTTTCCCACACAACACCTGGGACTGTACTAATCCAGAGCTTGTTGCCTAGGAAGATGTTCGGTATTGGCCTCAATCCTCTAAGCAGGGGACCCCCTTTCTGAGATGAGACATAACAATGTGTCACCTGCCCACGAGATGCAGCTACACAGGTATGAAAGGAAAGGTATGTTGCTAGACCTGCCTTCAACTCCTCCCATAGGGGATGTAAGTGCCTTGTTCACTACCAAGGGCATTATCAAGAGCCCTGTAATTGCTACACATTCTGGGGATTCCTGGTTCACACTTTCAAGGTGAGGAAGAGCTGGGAACTGTCCATCTGACTGATGCCTGCTTAATGAGAATCAGAGAACTGCCACACAATGATGAAAATCCAATTGGTCTCCTGACCTCTGTGCTAGTGCACACTCAGCTCTGCATTTGAATTTGGTACCAAGGTTTGCAATGTTCAAAATGGCAGCTACTGAGGCAGGCAGGCAGGCAGGCAGGATGAGTACATGCTATGTCCCACACTGGTAAAGTGACCATATTGTTCATCTTTCTAGCTGCTCAAATGGATAAAAAAAAAATTAGTGTGTACTTCTGTTAGGTTAGTTTTCTTTAGGAACAAGAATTCTGAAGTAAGTTCCATAGTTAACGTATTCTGAATCTCAATAGGGGTTGGGACCTGAAAATCATTCAAGTTGTTTGTGATACTGAGGGTCCTATGACAACTTTCACAAGGGTTACAGACTATTCAGTTTAGGTGATATGAGCCAAGTGACATATAATATTGTAAAGAAATGTGAATTTTATTAATATTCATGTCTGGAAGTGATGACATGCTCAATTTGATTCAAGTAACATTAATTGAACACCTATTTGTAAACATTTTCTATACTTCCATCTGATCCTATGCATATAAAATTCTTCCATGTTTTGAGAGAGAAATGCTTACCAGATAGAAAAGAGAACCTACTAAGAGGATGCTGGCTGGTTTTCTACTTGCCTGCACTTTTTTTTTGAGGCAAGGTTTCACTGTATAGCTCCAGCTGGTCTGAAACTCATGTAGACCAGGCTGGCCTTGAACTCATGGAGTTCTACCAGTCTTTGCTGCCACAGTGCTGAAATTAAAGGCACACACCATCATGGACCACCATGCTTGTTCTTTTTACCTGGGGTGTAAAAGTGAAGATGTGATTCCTAATCACATAGAGTTTAGAGGTCCCAAGGACACCAATGTGACGATATGGTCGACCACTCAATTTCATATTCTTATTTCGTCCTTTTTTGAAATATAAAAGAAAACTAGAGTTAGAGAAAATAAAGTAACAACTATTCCTAGTGTCCTAGGCTAAGACTGGGGCTTATTTTTATGTCAGACAATATACTCTGGGGGTTTGTTTTCCTAATACCTTTTAAAAGTGAGACAAAGCTGAACAAAGAAACAAATCCTACCCCTCTTTCCATGCATGGATATGAGTAACACCAGTCTGAGCTATATGGAGTAGACCTATTAAAAGGACTTTAATAATACTGACTTTGAATTTATTTAGCAGTCAGTCATAAACTAAATGAATTCAGATTCTAAGAAAAGAGAACTGTTTCCCAATTCAATGGGTAAAATGGGCATTTTGGTCCACCACAGGTAACAATTAGAAATCATATCAAGATACCAGTGACTCTTTCAACTGTGATATTTCAAAGGGCATTGTTTATTCTCCAACATGTCTGCCAAACAAGGACATTCCTATGGCAGTATGAGCTGACCCAGCTGAGGGAAATGTGCTTGCCTGTCCATTTTTCTTCACAATGAAGTGGAAGTACTGGTTGACCTGCTTAGTGCTCTGCCCAGGTCTTCTTCAGAACTTGTAACTGAGTTTCCCTCACATCCAAACCTAGAACCTGGAAGGCCCCTCTTTGCCAAATATACCCCAATATACCTCTGACCTACCAAGCTTGGCATATATGTGACTAAGAATCCGGCCTGGCTGGACTCGAATTGGATGCACATCAGCAATGCTCTGGACATTTACTCCATGTTCCTTCAACAGCCCCTTAATGTGACTGTTTTCTGCCAAAACAGCAACTGCAAACAAGAACAAAGACTTAGCATCGGATCTCTGTCTGGTGTCTCAGCATGTTAGTCCATTCTCCATGGTTAGCTTTGGAAATGATGGCAATTGCTTCGCTGCACTTCCAGCCTTTCTCTGTCCTCACTGTACCTCAGCACACACAATGCACATCTGTCAAGTGCCCTCACTGTGTAGCATGGTCTGAGAATTTACAGAAATGGTCTTCAATAGGCTCCAGTACTGGCTCAGCTATTGTGGGCTAATTAGGTATTCTTGTGGCTTCTTTTAAAGATTCACTGTGAATATGATATCATTAGTATCAAAATGCTTTAAAAAGCATCAGGTGGTATGTAAGTGTTAACTTACCCTATCAGAAATAATGCCCTGCCTCCCTCTGGGTCTGCATTTATCTAACCATTCCTTGTGTCATTTTCACATATGGTTAGGAGTGGAAACAGCTCCCTTAGGGGATGCCAGAAGTCTGTGTTCTTGCTCCCAAAGGGCAGGGGAAATGAACAATATGGCAGAATCTGCTAACAGGTAATGCTTTAGCTCGAGATAGGAGAGGGCAGCTTTCTTTCCCTACAAAAGAAAGCAGGCCTCTTAGTGTAGAGCCTGGTAAAAGTGGGGCTCTCTGGCCCACTTAGAAGCACAGCACAAGATTCCACAGATTAGAAAGAGCACTCATCCCAGATGTTTGAGCCCTTGGCTCTCTGGCTGGCAGAGACCTCCAAGTATCTGGGTGATGGTAGTCTATGCAAAAATTTGTCTTAGCTCAGGGCCACATCTGGGATGGCTGGATGGTATCATACTAGTACTGCTTGCCTATATGAGAAAGCAGTGTGTTGGCAAAGGGATAGAGTCTGGACAGATGCAGAAAAGGAGGACAGTCACAGCGAGCAGCTGGTACCTTGCCCAGCTGCAGCAGAGCCTTTTGGAAACTTGAGGGCCTCAGGCCAGAGAACACAGGCTAGCTACTGTTAAGAGTAGCTTCCCTAAATCTTACCATTGTATCCATAAGCTGGGAAGTGCTGAACATGCAATACATATAAATGCCTCTGAGAGTTGAACATTACCTAACACTTACATACCACCTGATGCTTTTTAAAGTATTTTGATACCAATGATATCATATTCACAGTGAATCCTTAAAAGAAGCCACAGAACACCTGATTAGCCTACAATAGCTGAGCCAGGACTGGAGCCTAATCTCCACAACATCCTCTGCTTCCCTAGGCCTCCAATAAATGAGATTGCTGGATGATGCAGGACCATCTGTGGAGTTTCCTCAACACATATCCCTTCTAAATTTTTCACTGATAAGCAGAATTGCACATTTATCAAAGTCACAGAGCACCACTCTCCTTATAACTGCCTTTTTCAGGAAGTAGTTGTAACTGAGACAGGAGAGCATCACAATCTGATACAACCACATGTACATGAGTTCTGCTTTCCACTTGGGGGGACATGGATGTGCCACAGCATGTGTGTAGAGGTAAAAGAACAATTTGCAAGAGTCAATTCTCTTGCTCTACTATGTATGCTTTGGAGACTGAATTCAGGTTGTTAGGCTTGGTGGCAAAAGGCTATTATCTGTTGAGGCATCTCACTGAACCTGCATGAGTTTCTGAACAGCCCCTAACCTACTCCATGCCAGATCCTCTGGTAATGCTGGTTCTAATAGAATCCTCTGGTTCTACGACATTGAAAAATAAAGAAGAGGCAGCTCAGCACTTGATTCCCAGGACTCACATCAGTTGGCTCACAACTGCCTGTAACTCCAGCTCCAGAGACTGAAACACCTTCTTCTATTCTCCTTGGTCACTGCATAAGTGCACACATTCATACTCGGATACACACACATATATACATAATTAAAAATAAAACCTACACATTAAAAAAAAACTGGTTGAGATCTATTACTATGTCCTGGCCCACAGCTGAAAAAGAACTATTGTAGATTTAAAAGACAAATTAGCAGAATGTGCTGGTCAAGTATGTTAGACGAAGGGATGAAGCTGGATCAGCCCACCAGGATATCAGTAATAGGTTCCCATGTCCAGCTGTCAACTGAAGTCCCTGAGTGAATAAGCTAACCTCTAAGCTTCATAGAGATAAGCAATGTTGTAAATGTTACCTAATCAGAATGCTGTGGTGGTTAGGTGTGCTCTGCATACACTAGTGATACAACTTGCAGCTCCTTTTATTGCCTCGTGGCCATGCTTGTTAAAATGGGCCAGCAGCTCAAAGAGCTGTTCAATCATTACTTGCAATGTGTGAGTACACAGATGTTAATACACAGAAGAGTATACAAGTCTTATTCTTAAGAAGTATACAGCTTAAGTCAGGCATGGTTCATGCCTATAATCTTAGCACTTGGGAGACTGAGGCAGGAGGACTTCTGTGAATGCAAGCCCAGCTTTGGCTATGTACTGAGTTCAAGGTCAGCTAGATTTACAAAGTAAGACTGGTTTAAAGGACCAAAAACAATATACAAAACAAATAAACAAAGGTATAAGGCTTATTTTAGGGGAAATGTGTTACACAAGGCACTCACTCAAAATGTGCCAGAGCTGCCACAGGACTTGGGAGAGGAAACAGGAGGGATTGTTGTTCTCAGTGCATACCATAGGCCAGACCTAGATTGACAGCTTCCTCTGTAGCTACCTCCATTGTTTTCAGGATCTCTTGGAGAGGAACTAGAGTCCTAGCAGCCCTAAGACATGGCCCGTGGAGGCATCTTGGGAGAGACAGTCCCATTGGGCTTCTTACCTTTTTGGAAGAGGAGCTGGCTAAAGAGGAAGGAAGGGGTGGTTGAAGCAGGTGGTGAGACCTCCAAGGGACAAATGAACTTCAGTTGGGTTCTGAGTTTTCACCAGGCTGTCTCCACTTTTCAGAGTGACAGTTATGTGGACACCAGTGACAATCAAGGTTTAGATTCCAGAAAACAATTACTTTGTAGGAAGTTAATTTGTGGGTGGAATGAATCCTGTTGCTTTGGGAGCCTGTCTGAGTTATACAAGGTTTCACGTAGATACCTCCATCTTACTGCATGCACAATGAATCCCAAACACACATACCCTGTCTACCCTCTATGAAGCTCTCTATGAAGCCCAAGGAGACCTTGTACTTCTGATCCTATTGCTCTTACTTTTTTCATCCTGGAGTTATAGATGAAGGCCACCATGCCCAATTTATATAGTGCTGAAAACTGAGCCCAGGGCCTCATGCATGCTAGTTAAGCACTTTACCAACTGAGTAGTTACCTCCTCTGTCTGCCTCTGAACTCCTGAGCTTCCTGCCTCAGGCTCCCAAGTTCTAGTATTACAGGTTTGCACTGCTAGAACCTGGCTGAATATACTTTCTAAAAAATTCCAATAAGGAAGTAAGGTGTGAGTGAAAAAATAACATTGATTTTATTTTACACATTAGAGATGGCTAGTAAACATGCTCACAAACCTTGTACTACAACATCAGGTTTGACTGAAGTAGAAAATCTTCTATTTAGGGGATCAATTTCACCAGTGGCAAGGAATCCCTAAGAGGAGAGGAACATTAATACTATGAAACACTGCTTTCACGAAGATTTCACCTTGCTCCTCTACTTGAAAGTGGCATATTTGGAGGCTCGAATCCTCAAACCCCTTTTGTTCTTATTTGTTGACTCTTTCTCCATAACACAATATGCTACTCAGAAAGCTACTGAGAAATGTATTAGCTGTTTGATGCTTAGCTCTGAGGGTTACTCAAATGCATCCCCACATTGTATGAGTGAAAAGAAAGCTATTACTAGTGCTAGCCAAGTCCCTGCATGTGGACTGTCACACTGGAGTCTCCTATGTCCATCATCATTCTGCATGTGGGGACGCTGAGGTGAAAGTGCTTATAGAAAGAGGCCAAGAGACTCTGATCCAGGGCTGACTGCTGTGAAACATAAAACACTCCCCATCTTGTTAAGTGTGCTCTTTAAAAATGCATCTTCTTTCGCTTTCTAGAAATGATCCAAGCTTCCCAAGGGAATGAAGGTGATCTGAGAGAAAGGGGACCTACTGCTGAGCCCAAAGGAAGCCTTTTTTTATATTGGAGAGGAGGTCTCAGAGGTGTGGAGTTAGTTATTTCCCACCTCACATTTACTAAAATTGGAGCTGAAATGCACTGGAGAATTAAGCCCAGTTTTTTCACTTTACGGGTGAATCAACTGAGGCTCAGAAAGATTAAGAGACCTGCCAAAAGTCCCTGAGCTAGCTGGATACAGGACTGAGTTTCAAAAAGATATATGAAGACGTGACCATGGAACTTGGGAGATTAAACACACCTGGGAACTACTTCAGCAGGCAATGCTCCCAGGTGAAGTGGCCACTGTGCTATCTTTTATCGGTCTTTACCACACCAGTAACCCAGTAATACTCTGATGCCCTGTTCTCTTCCCCAGTTTTATAGGTGGCAAAGCACACAAGGCTGTCCAGCCTCTGGAGGGCAGTCCCATTCTTCTTTAGGCTCCTTTCCCACACCAAAATTTCAGCTGAAGTTTCTCACTTAACACTGGGAGATTCATTTTAAAGCTTTTTCAACAGAAGCCTGAGAGCAAGAAAGAATGGGTCAGGAGGTGGGTTGGTGTGAGCTTTGGTATCTGAAGGACTACCTGTGCCTGCTATCTCTTTCTATGGAGAGATCTGAAGAGCCACTCTGCTTCCTGTGTCTTTGACTAGGAGAGCTTCTAGCCCATCTCCTCCTAATGCCTATCACTTCCAGAATCAGCTGTGCTAATCTTGGCTGAGATGTTTCCCGTGTCTTCTGAACAACAATGCATGTAAATTCTAACTACATACCAGAGCTTCAGACGAGAGGAAGGCAGGGAGTATCTCATGTAGCTGATCTCAACTGGCTTACTGTAAATACATATATACAAGGCCTAAGAAAAGCCCAAATCAGTTGAGGTAATCTTGAAGATAATGAAGTTGCTCTTCCTCGTTTCCGATACCTCTACCAGATGGGCCTACCTCTAATCAGAAAGCCTACCTCTGCTAGCAGTGAGCTGAGGATGTACAAGGACTGTCCCCAAAGATGGGGCAGCTTCCCCAGTGGAATTCGATCTACTGTGTGTGGATTCTTATACTCTTCATCCACCTGGCAAAGAAAATGAAATGTTCAAGGTCAGAATGTCAGAGGATATAAAGGCCAGCAATATCTTACACTGAGGAACATGTTGATTCATAAAATAGTCCTCAGCCTCCAGACCAATTCTGTGCAATACAGGATGATGGACTCAAAGGTAAAACGTTCCTCTCTCAGTGCCCCATGGCTATAAGCAACAGAAGGGGATTTCAAGTCTTGGCCTGGTTTTAGGCCAGTGTTCCCTCCATAAGCACAACTGGGACCACAGGCTCTATAGCTCATGCTTATGGATGGCTGTTTTCATAAAAAAAAAAAAAAAGATGAACAAACAAAACAAACGGCCCAGCCTGTATACAGACAGTGCATAGCTGGATGTCAACCCTAGTTTCTTCCTCTGGCTTACCATCCCTTAGAGATGTGTGCTCATGGAAGAAAATTACTAGAAGGTGGCACTGTGTAATGAGGCAAACCTATAGTGTTGTTACCACTCCCAGTCCACCTCCTTTAGAAAGCAGAATTTCCTGGGAGCTTTATCTTCTCAACATAAGCTTTTGTGCCTTTCTTTCTTTTGGTACCAACATTGTAAGCTTCTATGCCTGAGTGTTCTGAGGACAGTGCCAGCTACATGTGGGGCACTCTCCTAAATTCCATGCCCCCTATAAGGTTTTAGTCATTGAAATTTTGATTAAGGTACTATTTCTGTCCATTTTTTTCCTCCAGAAAATACCAGTCACTTGAAAAAACAGAAACATTCATCTTTCTCTAAGAGGAAAAAACTGCATGACAAGTCTATGTGTGTGTGGTGCATGAACATGTGTATAAGAAGAGTTCATTCTTAGTACTGTGGATTCATCAGTGATATCATTAATGTACTTATTAAAGATTTATATTTCTTGGTACTAAACATTTTAAAAACTTAAGTTTTGCACAGATTGAAAGAAATACTGATGTGGAAGGAGATTCTCCAGAATGTAATAGTGGTTATTATTGAGCAGTAGTATTAAGGATAATACATGTTTTCTTCTTTCTACAGAACCCTATCTATTTTACAGTGCATAGGATTACTTTGACAATTGACTGGCATCTTAAATACACAAAAAACACATTGAAACACAACTGTTGAGAAAGACTGCGATGATTTAGAATGAGAACTATCTAATGTAAAGAACAAACGATGTACTTGTTCTGCACTTTCCCACTAGAGTTTAATTCTGTTCTGGTCCTACTGAAGTACTACTTACAGGTGCACTTGCACCACATCTTTGCTTGCATCTTTCCTGTGGCTGTGACCATCTCACAGCCTAGTTCTGCTTTTACAATCCTCACAGATAGAGAAGCATCTTGTGTACTAGCCCCTAAGCTGTGCCATGCATGGCTAGCTGCTCACTCCATCTTGGTTGTTGGACACACTTTCTCTAGTCCCCAGTTGTACAGTGGAGGTGACACCTTGCTCAATCATACAGGCTGCATGCCACTGTAGTCCCAGACTTTTGCTAATTTGCACAAAGGTGCCATATAGGTTTCTGGTGTCTTGCAGGATTCTTTCCCAGTGGTCTCTATATGTTATTGATGTGACAGAGGAACCTGGCCAACTCTTACCTGCAAAGCTAACACAAAATGAGGTTAAGGTAAAATACTGTCCAATGCTGGTGCCTTGTATATAAGCTAAGTACACTGAATAAAGAGGACACTGAATGACAAGTAGAAACCTAAAAGTCAGTGTGGTTTTTAGGAGAGAGTTGTAGGGTAACATTTTTGAGGTGTACAACCAGCATTATCCATCAGGAAGCAAAGTGCAGCCCTGACACCAAGCAGTGCTTTTTGGAAGAGCAGGGGTCTCTACCATAAAATAGGTGTACTATCCTTGAAGATATGCGTTCTCCTTTGCTTGGTTTCCAGCTTCCTCCCATTGATGCCACAGTACTAGAGTATGAGCAGTCTGAACATGAGATATGAAAATGTACTATAGAAAGTGACCTAGACACTCCTTATTCTCATCAGCTTTCATTCCATCCATAGCATACAGATGGAAATGTAAAGTGAAGAAATTTGCAGAAGACTTTATGACACACAGAAAACATCCCTGGAAGACTTCATAACTTAATCTGTATGGTCCAGCATGACAGAAGTCTTTATCTTTAACTTGCCCTAAGAACATTTGGATGATATAAACCTGCCATGCTATGATGGGAACATGGGTTTTCTGGAAGTTCAGACCCAACAGTCTAAGTAGGACTGAGTGGATAAAGCCATTGCAAGGAACACCCCCTCCCCAGTGAATCCAGAAGTGAACCAGCTGACCAAGTGGGCTATTATCAATGTAAAAGAATCCAATGCTTCCAGATGTAGAATATCCTATTTCTTATAGAAACTCAACTCCTTCATTTGACTTTTTCTTGATCTAAGTAGTTACTTATGTAACATTCAATAGTTCCTTCTAGATCATGGTTCTCAACCTGTGGTTTGTGACTCCTTTGGGGGGTCAAACAACCCATTCACAGGGATTGTAGAAGACCACTGGAAATATCAGATATTTACATTCTGATTCAAAACAAAATTACAGTTTTGAAGTAGCAATGAAAATAATTTTATGGTTGGGGGTCACCACAGCATGAGGAACTGTATTAATGGGTCACAGCATTAGGAAGATTGAGAACCACTGTTCTAGATTAAGGCCCAAAGTAATACTCAGAATTTTTATGACATATAAGGCTCAAGTCTCAGACTCATTTAAAATGTGTATTTTTAAATAGTCCTTTGAGAGATGATCATACAAAGTAGCCCTGAGTTAGTGATCCTTCTGCTTCACATATTTGAAGGGTAAAATTACATGTGTCACTGCTCATCAAAATGTATGTTCTACATGAAATTAAAAGAAAACTCTGCTACATCACTACTTTCAAAGGCCCAATAGGGCATCCAATGTGTAGACACTTCTACTAACTGTAAAGTGTACTACTCATTAGGAAGTGGTGTGGCTCTGTGTGAATGCCCAGAACCTGGGGTCTGGTCCCTTGATGGAATTTAGATTGGAAAGGTTCTAGGACCTTTAATTTCCTTTGGTCATGTGTGTATGAGCCTGATTCAAACACAGATCAGGGACAGGTATACCTCCCTAGAACATCCATCATCAAAAGTGTTCCCTATGTTCCTCAGAGCTATAATTCCTTATGATAAATAGGAAAGCTAGCTTTTAGAAACCACTTCTGGAGAAAAAGAGGTCATGTGTCCTAAAAGGTGGGTAGAGAATACCAAAAAAGCCAAGCCCTAACTCACTCAGTCTAGATGAGTCTCACAAGGGCTTGGTGCCACCTGGTTACCTTGTCTGGTGGGATGGCATAGAGTTCCGGCACCAAGTGGATCCCATCTTTGCCTCTGATTAATATTCCTTCCAGGGCTTCTCGGTATTCTTGGACCTGAAAAACAGCCCCAGCATCTTTAGTGTGACAGAGGTCTGGCAGTTAATTATGCAATGGCAGTACAGCTTAGAAAACAGTAACAAAACAGGCCTCTGGGCTACAAATGCTTGGCTGTGAAGAACAGAGTGACTCTGGCTGACAGTAATGTTAGGAGAAGGGAGACACAATTGCTTTTTTCCCCCTAAGCCAAGCCCCACTTGCCATGTTTCCAGGGAGAGGGCAAGGGCAGCCCCCAAGAAAGTAGCTGTTTGGTCTTCAAACTTTTCACAGTACTGTCATTTATACCATGTACATCATTCCCATGTCATTCTCATTTCAATAATTCATTCTCATATTTGAACTCTGCCTTACCAAACAAGTATTAAACATCTAAGGATGTTGGGCAACATACTCTGTTTCTAAGTAGTAGCCCTGCCCCCTTTCTTCTTTTTTTTTTTTTTTTTTTTTTTTTTGCTCAAGGTCCTGGGGAGATGGCTCAAATCAGCAAAGGGCAACTGTGAGGACCTGAGTCTGGATTCCCTGAATTCACATAAAAGGCCTGGTGGCACATTTATGACCTAAAAAGTGGGAGATGCAGGGCAGAGAACAAACTGATCCCTAAAACTCATTGGCCAGCGAGTTTACCTGAATTGATGAACTCTATTAGTAAAAGACCCTATCTCAGAAAATAAGGTTAAGAGAGGTAGAAAGCAACTGAAGAAGACACCAAACATCAACCTCTGGTTTTTACACATGAGCAGCCTCTACACACATACATGATCACATGATCATACATACTATACATACATACAGATAACACACACACACAATGTTTATTGGTTAGGGAATATTTGCTGGGGCTGGTATTGTGGTTTGGTGGTAGTGGCTGCCTCTAATGCAAGGTCTTGAGTTTCATCCTCAGCAAAACACACACACACACACACACACACACACACACACACACACACACACAAAGTGGGGGAACACGAGAGATTGATTTGTCGAAAAAGTCGAATGTGAGACAAAAAGGAAATGCATGTACTATGCTCCATCTACACCAATTCTAAGGATGCAGCACTCATTATAATGACAGCTTTTGAAGCAAACATTCCCATTACACTGAACCAATATCACAAAAGAGGAAACAAGTAGGACAGAAAACATCACCAGCCACCAGCTATTTAAGCCTGGCTTTTTGGAGAGCTCAGTCAATTACACTTCCAGACCTCATTTTCTGATCATTTTAAATTTATGGATGTCAAAGTATGACCACAATTTTAACATTTTAAAATGTCACCAAGGAAGCAAGACTGTGCATAGAGTCACACAGGTCAGGTCAGATCCATCTCAAGTCATTCAAGTTCTGTGTCCTAAGTGTGAGGTGTCTTCAACAATAGAGGCTTGCCCTCAACTCCAGAGAGGAAAGCAAGGGCTCCATTCAATAAAGAGTCTACCTTGCATTGGGATCTGCTTGGACTCTGGCTAATCATTTAAAAGGTTTCTCATCTCTGGTACTGGGGTTTTCATTAGTCTATGGTTTTTGTGGGGAGCACTGTCAGCTCAAGTAGCTTAACACACACACACACACACACACACACACACACACACACACACACGTCAACAAGGGGTAGAGATGTAGATGAGTGGTAAAGTATTTGCCTTGCATGCAAACTCAGGACTTGTGTTTGATCCCTTATAGTGACAAGAAATCTAAATAATATGACAACTAGAAGAAACAGCATAAGTGGGGAACACTATAAAACAAGATATAGTAATGAAGTAACAAAAGATATTGTATACTGCCATTTGAGCATGCTTTTTTGTTTTGACTGCTTAGTTACCCTTACCTTATTCAAAGTTAGTATTAAAAGATTCAAGTTTTTCCATTGTCTTTATATATATATATATATATTCATATCATACATAGACACACACAAACACACACACAAGCACATGCACACGCACACATACTTACACACTTGGGAGACAGAGGCAGGCAGATTTCCTGAGTTTGGGGCTAGCTTGGTCTACACAGTAAGTTCTAGGATAGCCAGGACTACACAAAGAGAAATCCTACCTCGAAAAACTAAAAACTAAACAAGCAAATAAACAAAACAAAAAACAATAAAACCATAGCTTTTAAATTAAACTATAATTTCATTTATTCTAGCTAAAAATACATAAAGATCTGGGTTATTTTTCTTATATAAGTTGTAGAAAAAACATAAATGTCTAACAACAACATTGGTGATATGCTATAAGTATTAATATTTCTTGATTTAGTTAGTATCTAAAATGTCATACAGTATGATTATCTGGTATTAAAAATGAAAACAATATTTGAATTTTACTAATAAAAAGGGAGACAATTCTATAGTGACTTCTTCCAAAGTTTCATTTCTAACCACTTAAATATAAGTAAGATAGTTTATTGAGTAAAAGTAACTGTAAATGTAGGGGTAAATATATAATCAGTCTCTTGAAGATATATGTAAATTCTAGCTATTTTAGACATGTTTGTTTCATCCATAATATTCACTCCATTAGGTCAAACTGTATTCTTGAATACTTAATTTTAGATATAGTAATTTATGTCTCATACAGAGGGAGTAAATAGCAATTCAGATCCAGATTGTGATGTGAATAGTTTTCATATGATCCAGGGGTTTCTTGATGGTCTTTATCAGGTACTCCTCTCTCCTGAAGACTACCTTCTTCTTCATCTGTACTGCATCCTTGAAAAGGGCCTTCCTAGCTATAAGGAACCTTTAAATATTTGATATATATACTATGTGGGCCCTGAATGCACAAAATATGATGCTTAGCCAACAGAGGGAACTGTGAAGGAAAAGTTCTTGAAAGGGATCTGTATCTACAAAGACTGATTAGCTGATTAGAATTTCAATACTATGCAGAGATTGGAATGGTACAGGTCCAAAGTCTAGTGACCTTATCTTGGACTAGGTCTAGCCCTACAGAACAGCCATTCCTTGCCTACTTCTCTGTTAGAACTAATATCCTGCAACAAATAACAAAAACCTTTTATTATTAACTTGACCACTAGGTTCCAAAATCTCAAATAGCAATCTGAGGCCTATAGAAAAGCTTCCCTTATCTTCTGGCACCTGCCTCTGTGGTGTACCTATGCTATCAATGTATTTTAAACTTGCCTTCATTTATGACTTTGCTTCTTCTATAAAAATATAAAAATTTTAATGAAACTGTTTCCATGTTGGAACATTGATCTTGGGGTAACCTAAATCTGTGTTCTTGGATCATGGACATTTAAAATGGTTACAGAATAAACTGTTTCCTTAAAAAAAAAATACGATGCATAATAATTTTAATCTCCTTAGCTTCCCCTGTCCCCTTGATCATTGCTAAGTCTGTTTTCAGTAAAATTTAGTGACAGTCAGTCATTCAGAGAGCTTCAAATACGAAGAATAAAAGACAAGAAGGCCCAAGGTAAACTCTAAGTATAACATAAGAACAAATAATAAAAGGACCTTAACCTTTTAAGCTTACTGTCTATGTTCCAGAGCACTGGGCTTTCAAAAGACACACCTCTCCTCCAGACCTGGGATGTTATCAGAATGGACACTGAGAAGCCAGACTGAGATCCTGATAACAGTGGCACTATTGAGTGGTAGTGGAGACTAGCAGATAGAGCCTATCTGGAGAAAGTAAGTCATTGGGGTTATACCCTTGGAGAAATGTACTGGGACCCTAGCTTCTTCCCCAGCACACACCCTGGTTTTTTGGCTGACATGAAATAAATAGTTTTCTTCTGCTATAGGATACCCACCACAACATAATACCATACTAAAGGACCAAAAGAAATGAGGCCCAAACCAACCAGGAGCTGAAACCTCTGAAACAGTAAGCCAAAAGGAATTCTTCCTCATTTTAACTTGTTTATCTCAGATACTTTATCACAGCAATAGAAAGGTGAGTACGGGGCAGCATATAATCTAACTTTGTCTTTTAATGAAACTCCTATGGCTCAGGTGTAGAGAATGGAAAGAACAGGGAGTCAAGCTAGAGCTTGGGAGACAGTCAGGTGGTTGATATACTAAACAAGATGTTATCTGAGAGCATCACTAACAGCAGCAAAGTGCCTGACTGATCTGAAAGGAATGAAAGGAGTATCTGAAAGGAATGAATGGACAGGAACCATGCCTTCTAGCACTCATGTCCTTGTTCAGTTCCCCTGATCCCCACTCTTGAATATGTGACAGCCATTTAACTGACCATGTGATGGAGACACCTTGCCAGTTCTATAATAGACTTAAAAAAGCTTGGCAGCCTGTGCTTTTACATTCTTGGGGGAAAGACTACAGCACAAAAAGTCTAATAACCCAGAGATTCTACTGCAGTGAGGAGCCCAAGTGAGGCACATGGAGAAGAATTAAGCTATCACCACAGTTCAGCTGAGCATGTGGCCTTAGCTGGTAGCCAGATTTCACTAACCAGCCACTTGAATGGGGCTATCTTTTTAATAGTAGGTCCTTTAGCCCTATGAAGTATCCCAGGTGACAAGGGGAGAAGTAGAGACAATCTGTCCTTAGTGGCTCTGCCCAAATAACAGATTATGAACAAATCAATAAGACAGCTGTTGCTTTAATTCACTAGGCTTAGGAAAGGTTTGAAAATAGCAACAGGTAACTGAAACAATGAAATGAATTCTTGAATGACTCTATGCTAATAGTGAATAGCCTACAAGTGGATGAAAAGGCTTATGACTAAAATGCCCAGCATCTTCTCACCTGAACAGCATCACCATTGAAGATTCCATCTATTATTAAATAAGTCCAGAACACAGGCCATTCACATTCAATGTTTTCAAAGAGCTTAAGTTCAGCAGGGTCATAATGCAATCGGTGTGGGTCCTAGAACCAAATATACCAAAACTTTTAGAAAAGAATGCTAGATTTCATACACAATGCCACTGTGCCTCACTAGGTTTCCCATGCCTGTCTCAGTCAATACAGCTTACAGGCTGGTATGATTAGGGGTCTACTATCATGGTGAAATGCTAGTTTGAGAAAAATTTTAGAAACTAAATCAGAAATACACACAAGATTCTTCTGTAGTTTATTATATCAAAGTACCCCATCTCTCTAAGAAATAGCAATTTGCCTATCACAAAGCTTGGCAGATGATCCAGCTGTTTTATTTATATTATTATATTAGTCACTGGGCAATAAAACCCAAGGAGAAGGCTACAGATAGTCTTTTAAAAAATAACATGTAGGCTACACTTACTCATCCTTGATTTACAAGCTGGTTTTACATTACTGCTTGACCTGATGATCATTCTTTTCTATATAATTTCAGGCTTTCTGACTCTAAAATTAATACTTTCCTTTCCAACATTCAACATATAATTATAATCAGTAAAGGGAGAATGACACTGTGGCAAGTAGATACAGAGCAGGTAAGGAACATAAGAAACAATATTTAAATACAACCTCTCTTGGGGTTTTATAACCATCCCGAAGGAAGCGACAGCATCCGTAACGCCCCTGGTAAGGTGAAGAAAAATAGTACAGCTGATGAAATCAAAAGATTTTTTTTTCTTTTTTATTTCAACTCAAGTCAGTCCTTCAACCTCTTTCCCATAAGTCTTTCAAGGAGGAAATATGGACCAGTGTTCTTTGCTTTAATATAAAGAGATCTTTTTTAAATACCAAGCAAAGCAAATTCAGACTTGGTAGCACTAAGAGAATAAAGCAGCATTCCATAAAAGTTGGGGGAGGGGCTGAAAGTATGATTTTCAAGAATTCAATTGTATGGCTTACAGTATCAGACATAGATGTGAGGATGTCCTCATTAGGTGAAGAAGCCACTGAATGAAGAAACCATTTGGAAGGGCTAGCTCCTGTGTGTATACCCGGGAAGCTAAAAGGAAACTCGGCAGACTCACTGCACATGCATGTGCATGTTTAAGAGGGTCTATTTCAGAGGCTTGGCAAGGCTTGGAAGAGGGGGAAGGGGTTATGAGGTGGAGGTGTGGAAAAAGGGCTTCCTGCATTCACTATGTGGTAGTTGGTTCACTGGATGCATATGCCAGAGCTCCTCTCCAGCTTCCTTGTTGTCCAGAAAGGGGGCTGAGTGCAATGGTGTCTTATCTGATATACTAATCCCTGGATGGAAGTTTTGGATGCTTATTTCTCAGTTTCTTCTGGGGCAGTGTTGTCCTGGCAGGTTTGGCTATTACTTGTCCTGGGGACCTGTCCAAGTTCTGTGTGGTTCTGAGAATCATCCCAGGGGACTTCATGCAGATGCAATGTCCTTTAAGCACATTACAAGTGCCCTTTCAACTGTAGCTACCTAATTCATTCCCTTTGCTCTGCAGAGCCTGACTCTCCCAGTTGCTTTCTTTTGAGAATATGATTGAAGACTTCAATTGCTTGGTTTCCAAGGGACAAAGGCATTTCTTATAGAATATATGTGGGACAATCAGCATGTAAGCTTTGACTTAGGAAAATTAAATTCTTGGATAATTTTATAGATTTCTACTTGCTGAGAATGTAATATTATCTCAGCTTAGTGATTTGTTACTATATTTCACTGAATGTACTAATAGATTTTCACAATTAAAATTTTTATTAGCATACAAAAATGTTTCATTATGACATTTCACTAATAAAAATATTTCAAAATATTTTATATTTTTATGACATTGTCATAATACTTTGCTCTTATTTACCTATTATAACTTTCTTCTCTCCCTTCTTCCATTCATTGGCTTCTTTTCTTCAAGGTCAACCTTTTTCTTTTTATGTGATATGTGTGTGTGTATGTGTGTGTGTATGTGTATTTCATGTTATCAAAAAACATGTAATACTCATCTTCCTTCTCCTTATTAACTTAGTCCTCTCTCTCTTTACTGGTTTCTAACATGTTTTTTCTAACACAATGATCTTCAGCTCCATGTTCCTGCAAATGACATACCTATTCTTCTTGTAGATTAATAATACTCCAATGTGTGTGTACATCATATTTTCCTTATCCATTAATCAGAACAAAGATTTCTGTATTATTCTTTTGTGTGTGTCTATGTGTATGTATTCAAGCATATGCATGTGCATCTGTTTGTGTATGTAGACTAGAGGTTGATGTCAGCCGTTTTCCTCAATCCTTGTCCACCTTATTTTTTTGACATAGAGTCTCTAACTGACTTGGAGCTGACCAATTCCACTAGTCAGGCTGGCCAGAAAACAGGGATCACCCATCTCTCCCTCCCACTGCTGGAATTATGGATGTGTCCTGCTATATCTGAATTTTTAAATGGGTGCTAGGGATGTGACTTCAGGTCCTCCTGCTTGCAGAGCAAGCACTTGGATATGCCATATTGTTCTGGCAGGATCAATAGAGCTGTCAGGAGATTCTCAAAGAGTCTTCCTATAACCTCTAAAGGGTTAATTATCCAAGTACAGCCCTGTCTTAGAGATATAGCAAAGATAAGGACTAAAGTTCAAAGGAAGATGCTTGGTTGCAAGTTCTGCTATTTCAGAAGAAAATCAAGTTACTTAATCACTCAGACTTTTTTTTTTTTTTTGCCTGTAGACTTTACTTTGGCCACACTCTGTGAGTCATTCTAGAATGAGCTGCTCCATGTCATCACATGAATGTGGCATTTAATGCCGAACAGAGGGCACTAACAGCCAATGCTTACCTGAAGCTTGGAAATAATTTCATTTTTGGTCACATTCACAAGGTTCACATCTTCTACTGCAAAAGCCGGGAAAGAAATAATAGAAAGAAGTCCAGCATCGATTTCTTTAGATGTTGATGCTCTTGGCAACATGGAGAAAAGAATTGACTGAATAAAAAACAAAGAAGTGGTTTAAGCTAGAGAGGCATGACTACTTAGATACAGTATCTAGGGATCATCACCTTTGCCTCAAGAAAACATTCAAATGAGTTTGTCTTTTTGGAGAAGGACTTGGTCTTATCAACATGACAACAAGAAGCTTATCAACAACAAGCCACCCCTGCTTACCCAGCCACCCAGCCAATGCTCCCTCTTTCTTAGGAGAGGAGGGGAGTTGAAGAGAGCATGATATAGTCTCACTAAAAACTGCTCTTCTCCCTTCTTTCCATGTGCACTGACAGGGAGGAACTCAGGGCCATTTGTATCAGCAGTCAAAGTGTTTTGGCTATAAAGACAGAAACTAGACAGGGACACTCATACAGGACAAGGACAGAAGAATGGGTCCAGATGAATTAGGCAAGTTAGTGCTTTAAGTAGGAGTAAAATTCAGAAGATTTCATGAGTGGACAGGCAGAATGCTGAGAATTAGTTTAGTTCCAGAATCTTTTTAAAGTTATCAGAGGCACTACGATAATGGCTTCAACAATAGCTAGAATAAGAACTATAAAATTAAAAGGAAGTTAGAATTATAAGGAAACATTGGGGAGAGTAAAGGAGCTAATGTTGAGCTCCAATGTATGAACAGACATAGGCTAGATACCTTCAAACACAAGCTCATTAAATCTTCCATATGGAGACAGAGATATGATATTATGTCAAATTAATACGCAAGGACTCTGAGATACAGGATTTACATCCAAGGTCATCAGTAAGTGATCAAGCTAGGACTCTAACCCAGCTTATACTTTCCCACTAGATTATATATCTATTAAGACACATGTCAGTATTCCTTTATTCATGTAAACTCTAAGAAAACATCAGATACCTCATTAAGGACTATGCTTAGTGGGAGAAATGGAATGAGTTGGAAGGTAGAGTTAAGCTGAGTGGAACCCTTCAGCTTCAGAATAAAACCTTCTTAGAGTTAAACGATTCTTGCCTCAATTCTTTAACTATAGTCATGAATCACTTAATAATGAGTGGTATAGTCTGAGAAATAAAATATGAGGTGACTTCATCATTGTATAAATACCATAGAATACACTTACAAACACTTATAGCCTACTACACACATAGACTGCGTGGTACATTTTGGCCAATGAGAGACAACATGCACTGTGATACCATAGTATATGCCATTCCTCATTGCACAAAGTGCAACTATAAAGTACATGGCTATACTCACTCCTTTTCAGGGTTTCTCAGCCTAGAAACACAAATTCCTGCTTGAAGCTATTTACAAGTGTTTGGGGTTTAGTTTTTTTGGAGACAGGGTCTCAAGATGTAGTTTAAGCTAGCCCTGAATCTAGTAATTCTTTATGTAGCTGAAGATAACCTTGAACTTCTGGTCCTCCTGCCTCTCCCTCCTGGGATTATAGGCATGCACTATCACACATGGTTTGTTATTCACAAACTATGTCTCTGACTCACTTTACTCCCAGCATATAGTATGTCCACACTAAGTTTGAGCAATGCTACCAATGAAGGACTCTGCTTAATGGCATCCCCTACACTGTCCCAATTATTCTCTGTGATCTGTATTTCAAAGAAGCTCTATGAATTTGCCATCTCTCCTCTCACTCTACACACCATGCCTCCTCACCTCAAGGGAAACACCACTAGTGAGCCACTCCATTTGGGAGCAGTGATGAATGCGAGAGCTCCCAGAAAATCAATCTATAAGAAATCCACTTATGTACTAACAACAACAACAACAACAACAACAGATGACAGATTTTGCTACTAGGAAAACCAAGATGCTTTGGCTATTAGCTCCACACACAGAATCATTATGGCTTATGTCTACATAGTAGTTTCTGGCTACAAAGTAGTTGGACGAGTTGCCCAGGTTCATTTACTCTGATCCTTATAGTTACTCTGTGAGGCAGGAGAGAAGGTGCCTATGTAAATGTCCGCTTTATGAATAAGGAAGCATCACAAAGAAGTCAAATCAGTAATTGGAAGTGGAGCCCAACCCTTTCCTGGCCAGGATTCTTCTTCCTTCCTTTCTGAAGCTTTGACTGATTACCTGGCAGTGCTCAACTTCATCAGGCAGGACGTGGATCACTGATTTGCGACCTCCATGGGCTCCAAAAAGATCTAGTTCATCAATCGCCTCAAGTGCTGCCTACAAAAATAGGTAAGAATTATTTTCTTTTTAATAAACACACATACATACCAATGTGGCACTCTTTTTCATTAAGCAATCTAACATACATGTTTCTCCTAATGGCAATGAAGAATGTCTTTAAAACCTAGCTAGAATCCTAGTGTCATGGCCTGTCTTCATTTTCAGTAGCTCAGATCTTTCCAGTAGGACACTACTCATTCTATGAATAAATGAAATTAATATTATACCAACAGAAGAAATAATAAGCCTATACAAGTATAGGGCATTAAAATTAATTCAGAATTGGCTTTTGTTTCACCTATTTTAGTGGTTAAATTACTGTGTGGTTAATTGAGAACGTTAGTTTGGTCTTTGTAAAAAGTATATTTTCTGTCAGTTTGCTATAACAGACATGCATTGTCCTTTTAAAACTGTGGCTCTGGAGCCTCTATGCTGTCTAAGCAGTTCATGTCGTGTTGAGAAGGAAGTGGAACGAGGTACACTAAATGTCCTAAACAAGAGGTTCACACCAGTTGCTTACAGGCTGGATGTGCCCATGGGTACACGGTGTTTGGCTTTAAGAATCTTCTTTTGTCCCTCTCCTTCTTTTTTCCTTCTGTTTCCATTCTTGTCTCAGCACTGTCCTGCCTTGTCTCATCTTTTCCCTTCTCTTTTTCCTTTTCGGAACAGGGACTCATTGTATTGTTCAGGTTGGCCCCAGACTGCTGGGTTTAAGTTACTATCCTGCCTCAGTACTCTGAAAGCTGGGATTAGAGACACATATTACAATGCTGGCTAGAAGATAATTTTTTCTAAATGATTTTAAGTTGAAATACTTTCAGGGAAAGTTCCCAGTGTTCTCAGTATCTCCCTTTCGCCCTGCTAGCTCTCTATCTGGCTAGCTTCACTGACTATTGTTACTTCTCTGACCTTGTAGATTCGAAGATGTGCGTCTTGCCTACAAAATGCTCACATTCTTTAACATTCACTATGACCTAGAGAGGAGACTGCCCATCGATAGCACAGCTTAATAGCAAGAGCTTGAACTCATACCAAATAGTAAGGGCAGAACACACTTATTTTTCTGTCACATGCAGATTTGGAAACCTATTTTCTTGACCTACAATTTCACTTGGCTGGGATACAGGTGCCACTTCAATTTCATATACTTGCTGCTGACTTTTGAAAAAAGAAGTACTAATCCTATTAAATCCAAATTTCGAAAGAAGAGAAATAGGCAGTAACCACACAGAGAAGGAGAGCAAACAGGACTGTTACCTTGGCCATTCCCACCGAGCTTGCATTCAGTTCTGGAATGCCCTGATTGGTCTTATCTCCACGTTCCCACATTCCATAATCCTGGGGGAGAAAAGGGCAGGTATCAGATGTCGGGGAGACTTGAGAAATACTATGGAAAGGCAGGTTCTTTATGTTAGCACACATACAATGAAACATGAATGTGGCCTCTGAAAGGCTCTCAACTTTGTAGCTTTATATACTCACATGCTGTTCTTGCTCAATTTCGGCTTAGGTAGCTTCTGTACAGAATTTTAGAAGAAAATATTCAAGTGGGATAAAACACACAAAAACACACTCAAGGCTTATTTCTAAAAGGCACTAATTTGTAACAAACTCAGTTTGCAGTAAACAAAATATCTTACTTATCTTAAAATCAAAGGGCTACCCCTCTAGTTGGCCAGTGCCTTTGGACTTATTTAAAATAATTTCAAAAACTATTTTTTTTTCTATTGTATTTTTTATTAATTTCTTTTTTTTTTGAACATGAAATGCTTTTTTATAGCATGTTTTACAAGGGGAGGGGGTAAGAGGGTCCAGGTGGTGGAAAAGTACAAAATCTTCTTGGCCTGTGCCTTGAAACATGTCATGGTCTATATGGTACACTGCCTTGAATTATGATCTACCTGCAGTTCTTCAGAAGATATGGTACACTGCTTGAGTTATGGTCTCCCTGCTATTCTTAAGAAGACATGGTACTCTGCTTTGAGTCTATATGCAGTTGCTAAGCAGGGTCTTGCAGTTGCCAAGCTTCAGAGGACATTGTGCAGGTGGGGAAAGATAGGGGGTAAGGGTAAGGGCGAGGGTCCTGGCTTCTGGCATCTCCCCCTTCTCTGTTTAGTTAGAGAAGGCGTCTTATGTTCAATCCCAACTATGTGAGTTTTGAATTTGGATGTCTAATTATGGGGGGTCTTAGACAAGTTCACAACCCCAAAACACTGATGTGAGACGAGTCACATCGATGGTCGAAGGCTTTAGGCTGTCGACGATGGGCAACGTCAAGGGACTCTGATGTGGGTGAAAGGAGGGTGAGGGCCCTGTCTTAGGCCATGTAGGCTGCACCCACTCCCAGCACCACGCACTCCTTTTCGGCTGCATTGGGTGGGCCCCTGGGAAGTGGACCTACAATAATCCCGTCATTGGGCTAACTCACAGCCATCCTAGTCTCTTGTAAATGTTCAAGTTACCAACCATTTGTCAGTTTGGGGTGTAATATTGTCATAAAGGAAGGCTCCCCAATGTTAGCGGCCATATCAAGGGTGGCCTTGGTTTAGGAAAAAGCCAATTTTTGTTGTGGTGATCAAGAGGCCAAGCTCTCTAGCGAGAGAAATGAGGGCAAAGCCAGGCATACCAGGAACCCTTCTGGAGGGCATGGAAGTCTAGGGGTAGACCGTAGGGGGAGGCAGGGGAGCTGACAGCTGTGTCAGTCTCCTGCGGAGTCACTTCTGGATTCTCTGCAATTTTCAGCTGATGGTAATGAACTTCAACTGCCTTCTTGATGGCAGCATCAACCTGGTTCCGTGGACGACAGGTCACGGGCGATGATCTCTGTCTTGCTCAATCTTGATGTCGTGCGCACATCCTCTCAATGAGGGTCCGATCGGATGGGTCCGTGCCTTGAGCCCCACGTCTGGGTGCCACTTGACCCGACCGGTGGGTCCTGGTTATTCGTGGGGGCGAGGAGGACTGCAACCTGCTATTCTTCAGAAGATATGGTACACTGCTTGAGTTATGGTCTCCCTGCTATTCTTCAGATGATATGGTACATTGCTTTGAGTCTATCTGCAGTTGCCAAGCAGGATCTTGCAGTTGCCCAGCTTCAGGGGATCTTGTGCAGGTGGGAAAAGGTAGGGGGTGAGGGTAAGGGCGAGGCTCCTGGCTTCTGGTCCATCTGGGTTAGAACTTCTAATAGCAGGCATCACGGGTGATTCAATTTTACCTGGGATGCTGCGTGAGTTCAAGCTCCTGGGAGTCCCTGTTTTTCTTGGTTTTCTGCGGTTGGGTACGGAGCTGCTGCCTGCGACCTGCTCTAGGCTCGGTCCCAAACTGTCAAAAACTATTTTTAGCATTACCTCTTACGTAAAAAAATATTTAGCAAGTAAATGAGGCCAAGATCCAAGGTCGAAAGTAACACACTGAACACACATAGAATTAAAGAGCCATTTATATTAATTAATTCAGAATATTGTCACACAGAAGACTCAACATATGTATACCTAAATTTTGGTGATTCATGTTTTTATTAAAAAACCCAAGTGTCACATACTGTTTTAAAAATGCTACATACACAACTGAAAGAGCAAAATCCAAGAAGAATGCTGCATACACATCTGAGCAAAATGCAACAAGGACCAATATGGCTGCCTAAACATGACCTGAGTAAACAAGGCACCAAGAGATACCAACAGATATGCTAACATGGAAGGGGAAAGGCTCAAGAAGCCTCAACCACAAAGAACTACAGACAACTAAGGGATACTGATAGTGGAAGAAATAGTCTTCCCCAGCGAAGAGCACACCAATTGGTTATCCAATACGAAATGGTCAGTCCTGAGAATATACATACAAATAACATCATACAGACTGGGCAGGTTATGTTTATATATTAAGTGTGTGTGTGTGTGTGTGTGTGTGTGTGTGTGTGTGTGAACAATTAAAGAAAAGAAGGCTGTGAATTTGAAAGAAAGAAAGGTGGCTTATGGGAAGGTTTGAAGGGAGAAAAGGTATGGAGGAAATGATGTAATTATAGTATAATCTCAAAAAAAAACTTAAAAAAAAAACCAGGGTTGATGCCAAAATTACCAGTCTTCAGCATGGAAACTTACAGCAACTTTATATGCAGCTTCTATGTAGAAGACAAGATTCTGTATGAAGGCCACTTCGTCAAGGGTGAAAATAATACGCAAACCTAATAAAGAAAGGCAATGAAGTTACGAATCGATCCTATACAGAGAGAGTCATCAGTTATATACAATAATCATTTTGCTAACAAGTTTTTTATCATATCTTTACTTTTCTTATTGGGCATCAACAGTTAACTGAAGTAAGTCCTACAATTGATGTCTAATCTCAGAAAGAAGAAGGGAAGTAAAAGGAAAGACAGGAAGGGGGGGGGAAGGTGTCCACTACTGCAGGTATGCCTATGGGAAGAATCAGAGATAAGGTATGCACCTCTGGAACATCTTATGTTTATGCAGACAAGATACTAACAGAGCAAAGACTTTTAGCTCAGGAGTATCAGTGGCATTGTCCCCAGCTTTGGGCGAGCCAAAGCAAAAACTGTACATATGCCCAGGTAAAGGCCAATTTCTGCCTGCAGGTCTCAGACTGGTCCCCTGCATTTCCTGCCATATCACAGACACAGATGCATGTAGAGAAGCATGCTTTTCCTCTGTATAACCTACTATTAATTCTATATTTGTAGCAACCTAATACTACTTGGTATGTTCTGAATGTGTCTCTCTGAAGTTCAGTGTTGCTAATGTGAAAGGTGTAGGGGCCTATATGAGTTTAGGCCCTAATGGTCCTCCCTAATGGATGTCTTACAACCCTTAGGAAAGAGGCTTCACACAGCATTCAGTTCTCAATTCATTTGCCATGCAAAGACATGACTTTCTATTTCTTCAGAGGAGGCAGCTCTTACCAGACACCTGAACTTGGGATCTCAGACTTTTCAGCCTCTAGAGTTATGAGAAAAGAAACTTCCATACTGCTTACATTTCCCAGTCTTGGTATTTTATCATCATATTACAATGCACATTTCCCCCTTCACTATCTCATTTGTCACCCAAATGGCCCTGGCTTACCTGAGGCAGTCATTTGGGCCAGGAACAGGAGGAAGAGAGAGGTGGCATCCACTTGGAGGTGGCCCCACTGGTCATCACCCACCACAGTGCTACATGTGGCAGTGTTGTACTTGGCATGTAGACTGTCCTTGGTACTCTGAGTATGCTTGAACTTCTCTACTTTGTCCACCTGAGGAAGAAGGCAAACTGGCTCCAGGTACACAGGTTCACCACTGTCAGAAGTCATAGCTAAGGATAACCACTGGATCTGCTAGACCTTTTACCTGTGATTTTTGGGAGCCAGGAGGATTGGAAGTAGCTGCTGATGACCACTACACACAGGGGCCATGGTGGAGATTCTTCCTACTTATTTAATGGAAATACCTCAGCCCGCAAGAGTCTTTAGAAAGCTCTACATAGGTGAGGTCAAAAGGGATTCTTATCTACAGAATCCCACAGGGATATGTGGTAGGTTGTCAAGGACATAGGGAGGAGAGGAAAAGAACCTGTTTAAATTTCAACTTCTCTGTTCTTAACATGCTAAAGAAAAGAGCACAATGTCTTTGGATATTCCAATTAAAGATGGGATGGCATCACATGCATCTCTGAACCAGTGTTGAGTCTAGTATTAGGTTCTATGTATAGTACTGCAATGAACTGTTTCATTTACCCTAAACTGAAGCTATCAGCAAATGGTAATATCAATTTTAAAAAATGATTTACATTTATTTATCTTTTTGTGTCTACAAATTGGTGCCTTTACCCATTAACTCATTCCCAATAATGACATTCTTTAAAAGCTCAAGATCTCAATCTGAAGTAAAAACACACAGAATAAATAAGAACTAGTACATGGCTTTCTGTGTGGGTTTAATATTGTTTTTCTTAATTAAAAAAATAAGGCATGTTCTCTTTTATACGTATAAATCTTTAAAAGAGGGTCTTCAAATTGTCCTTTGAGACTATGGTTCTATAGCATAATAAAATTATTGAGGATAATTTTAAAAAGAGAAAGTAAGCAAAATATTTATGGTTTTCTTCTTGTGAAAGTTCCAAATGTAACATGCATGCTATCCCAATTGAAATGACACAAATGTATACTTTAATGTTCTGTAGGTTCAAGTTTCCCACATTTCACCTACCTGCCTCATCATACACTGGAGCAGACCTCGCATCAGCTTCACTACGTTCTGCAGAAATAAGATGGTATCAGTAATGAGGCGTAGGTTTCTTACTTTAAGAAAACTGATTACTCATACATGGCCAATAAGCCAGTGTTGTCTGGTAATGTTCCACAAAAGATAGATCCCAACTCTACATAAGTATTCTGATTGTTCACATTATTGAGACTTTTCTATTCTATCATAAATAAGTATTTTAACAAAATGATTTCTCTCAAATAAAAGGGTTGGATCAGATGCCTCTTTGGGTTCTGGAATTCAGTGACTCCCAAATGACATTCTTATAAACTTAATATTCTGGAACTCTATGTTACATTCTTAGTAATTTATTTTTGTTATACTAAGGACCAATTAAGCCTACCACATCTGTCCAAAAGTAATGCTAGTTTGCCAAAAGAGCCATTTGTGACACCATTATTGGACATCGAGCAAAGTTCTTACAAAATACAAGTGGTATCCAAGGTTTTATAATGATGTGATTATTAATAATATGGCAACTGATTACTATCAGCAACATCATCATTATTAATCATAATAATACCACATTAATTGATTAGCCATCACATACAGACACCATGAAAAACACTTAATGTCTATTATTTTGAATTCCAGCATCAGCCTTATGAGATGGGTAGTATTTTTACCCCAGTCTCTAGATGAGGAACCTGAGCCTGAGGGAGATGAAGTAACATTTCTTAACTTTCCGTGATGACAAAGAGCAGAGAAAAACAAAGCCTAGATATCAGACATCATGGACTGAAAGCTTCTACTTACAGGCATGGGTGTATCAGGGCACATCCCATGCCTTCTAGGGGACAGCAGAGTAAAAGGGCCTGAAAGTTCCTGGTTAGTGAAAAGTCTGCAAGTTAGACCCTTCCTCTTCTAAAGTACTAGGATTCTCAAATATAATTCCAATTATTGTTATAAATTCTGTTGAGGTAGAAAAGGTAAACTTAGCACTGTTATAATTCTTACAGTGTAGACAATGTACACAATTGTCAACTGACTTCCCCTCAAGCCAAAAAAAACCCCTATTTCCCATGAGAAAAAATGCAACGCTTTCCAACTTGGACTGATACTGCCAATCCCCTGTAGTGGAGAAACACCTAGAAATGTGGGGGTAGGGGTATTCTAATCATAACAATGACAGAGGTGAAGAATATTGGAACTTAAAGATCTGGATCAGAGTCCTTAAATGTCCTCAAATTCATGAACTAATATTATACAATGAAAGACTATGTTCAGCAAGCCCCAAGTGCTCCTAAATGAATATTACTTGAAAATGCCCAGTGATTATTATTTTCCACAATAAAGGGTGATGTTTCCATTAATATTTGTTTTTTATTGTAACAGAGTATTACTATGCAGCCCTCAATACTCAAGAATTCACTATGTAGACCAGGCTGGCTTTGAACTCGCAGAGATATATCTGTCTCTGCCTCCTGAGTAGTGGAATTAAAGGTGTATACCACTCTGCCTGGTCTCATTTTTTAGTTTGTTAACTACGTATCAAATAGGAAAAGACATTAAATATGAAACATATGAAATACTGTGGTTTGTTTCAGTACAGGAATAGAAAATTTAATCAATGAGTATGTGTGTGTGTGTGTGTGTGTGTGTGTGTGTGTGTGTGTGTGTATGTATGTATGAGACAGGGGGAGGGAAGGAGAGAGGGAGAATTGTGAGGTTTTTCACCTCCTGCTTCAGGTTTAATGATTAAGACATGGAGACATCTGTATAGTTGAAGGCTGTTGGCATTTTGCTGAGGCCAACAGCCCCTAAATTAACCTGACTTATCCCCCATTCCATCTCTCCACGGGGTTCTTACTGCCTGCTTCCTTCCTAGCTCCATCCAGGTCTTTCTGCTTTTCTGCTAGTACTTCTGCCCAAGCTCCAGTTGCCTGCTCTTATGCAAAAAGCCACAGATGTCCTTCAACTGAGGAATGGATTAAAAAAATGTGGTATATTTACACAATGGAGTATTACTCAGCTATTAAAAACAATGAATTCGAGAGGTTCCTAGGTAAATGGATGGAACTAGAAATTATCATCCTGAGTGAGGTAAGCCAATCACAAAAGAACACACATGGTATTCACTCACTGATTATTGGATATTAGCCTAGAACCTTGAAATGCCCAAGATGCAACTCACAGGCCACATGAAGCTCATGAAGAAGGAAGACCAAGTGAGGGTGATTCGGTCCTTCTTAGAAGGAGCAACAAAATACTCAAGGGAGCAAATATGGAGACAAAATGAGGGACAGAAACTGAAGGAGGGGCCGTCTCAAGACCACCCCACCTGAGTATCTATCCCATGTGCAATCACCAAAGGTAGATGCTGATGTGGAAGACAGGAAGTGCATGCTGATAAGAGCCTGATATGGATGTCTCCTCAGAGGCCTTCAAGAGTCAGACATATTCAGAGGCAGATGCTCACAACTAGCCATTGAACTGATCATGGGGTTCCCCAATGGAGGAGTTAGAGTGAAGACTGAAGGAGCTGAAAGGGTTTGTGGCACCATGAGGAGAACAATAATACCAACCAACCACAGCTCCCAGAGTCTAAACCACCAGCCTGGGAGCACTTAGGGGGGGATCCAGGGCTTCAGCTGAATATGTAAAAGTGGAGGGCCCTGCTGGGCATAGGTGGAAGAAGAGAACCTTGACCTCATGAAGGCTGGATGCCCCAGGGGGTGGGAATTTTGAGGGTGGGGAGGTGGGAGTGGGGGGGTGTAGATAGAGGTTACATCCACAGAGAAGAAGGAGGAGGGGTGAGGGGATTGGGGGTTCCGAGGGGGTGGTGGGGGATGGGGTAAGGGGACAACATAGGAAATGTAAATAAATCATCCAATAAAAAAGAAAAAAAGAAAAAAAAAGCCACATTCCTTAACCAGCTGGCTTTGGGGTCTACTTGGGGAAGGTGACCTTCCCCATGGCAGTTTGCCTTTAAAGTGACAGATCCTGCTAGCCTGGCTCTGCAGGTTCCAAAGAACAACTGACACAGGACAATTGACAAGGACACACTTTTTCATACCCAGAAAATATAATACTTGTGAGTCATCTCAACAAGGGAGTGGGATCTGTAAGATACTTGACATTAAATTATTATACCAGCAAATAACTGATTCACTCATCCATCCATCCATCTTTCTGAATGAGCATTCAGTGATTTTTATTCACAATTTTAAAAAACTTTATATTCTTCAAATACCAACTTTTATCACTTGAGTTAATAAGCCTTGGTCAAATCTAAGCTTCGTTCCCACAGATAAGCTTCCTTTCTGAGCTTTCCCATAGTTGTCAAATTTCCTGCATGCTGCTTATCACTCATGACCATTCTAGTTACTATAATCAAGCAATACAATAGCTAAGAACACTATCCAGGAATATATGGATTAAAGATAAATCCCAGGGCCAAGGTGCTTAGTTGGTAGGTACAGTGTGTGCTTATCTTGTGTGAGGCTATGAGTTCAATTACCATCCCCTATTATTCCATCTTTATAAAGATAAATCTCAAATATTCTCATGCCAAGGTAATTACAGTTTATACTTCAGTGTTCCTTACTGTTTGGTTTCAGACCCAGGGAAAAGTGATTGAGGTGCATATTTTATAAACCAAAGCAGACCTGGCCTCCAGGTTCTCTCAGCATCCCTTAGTCCCTACTAGCATACCCAGCCCTGACACTTGAACTTTCCAGCCTAGGGGCTGCAGTGCCCTTCCCCCAGAGACTCCTCCCTATATAATCCAGACACTGTGGTCTCCTCTCCTGCTTCTCCTTCTCTTCTCTTCTCTTCTCTTCTCTTCTCTTCTCTTCTCTCCTCTCCTCTCCTCTCCTCTCCTCTCCT